GATGCGTGTCTGCGCGTGAATTGTAGACAAAACGCGAAGAGTGTCGAGTCGATGTGGACGAGGCGGAGTGCAGGACAGCAAGACAGGACGCAAGCCAGCACAACGACGACTCACAAGAACGAACGGACTGGTCCGACAACGATTGTCTGTGCCGAGCGGGAGGCTGAGGTCATTTGGCCGAGGCGTGGGGCGCGGGATGACCATATCACGGCCACCCTGCATGCTCCCCAACGGTGTGGGTGTGGGTGTGGGTGAATGAGGCTAAGGCGCTAACTGAGGCTACGCATGTGCATGCATTCCTCCCCATCGCCATGACTTCATGCTTGCATCCTGTGCGCCCTCGCTGGGCTTGTTTTCGGTCACGATACATAGGTGCGCTACCAGCACTCTTCTAGCCTAGCCATCGCTACTACTGCACAGTGCCTTTCTGCTTTCTGCTCCTTTCCGTCCGGCAGTCTTCCCGTCTGGTAGCCTCAACAAACTTGCGACGATACATACCTACAAGAGCACCATCGGCGGATCCCGCCTCTGCGCTCTGACCTCCGTCGACGTAACCATCCACACGTGCCCGGAACCAGGTTTTACAGTACACATGCCTAGACCATGACCGATGCAGACAATGCCAGCAACGACTTGACTAGACGCCCATTGCCCAGGGCACGCTCAAACTTTGCTGCTCGTACTGCCCGCGACGACACGGAGCGACTGCATCGCCGCTCCTTTGTCCAGCAGTCACCCCCGTCATCACCGCCGACTGAGGGCACTCCGCTTCTAGCCGGCAGCGGACAGCAACATGACCGTGGCCTGGACGGCTCGCAAGAGACTGAACATCGGCGGCGAGGTGTGGGTGCATGGCTCTCTAATTTGTTCACTTCATCTGGGCAGGAACCCGCAAGTCATGGCAAGACACCCCCCATCACCGAGTCCTCCAAACCACGGCCTGGGGCTTTCCCCAGACCCGTCGGAGGCACAGACAAGCTAGGCACCTTTGCCGGCGTCTTCGTCCCCGTCACACTCAATGTCTTGTCCATTTTGATGTTTCTGCGCTTTGGCTTCCTCCTGGGTCAGGCTGGACTGGTGGGCATAATGGCCATGTTGATTGCCGCCTATGCTATAAACCTCTTGACTACCCTGAGCATTTCTGCAATCGCTACCAACGGCACCGTCAGGGGCGGAGGAGCCTACTACCTCATCTCGAGAAGTCTGGGACCAGAGTTTGGGGGAAGTATCGGCATCGTCTACTACCTTGGCTCCGTCTTCAACACCTCTCTAAACGCCGTCGGCTTGATCGACTGTCTCATCGAGAACTTTGGGACCCATGGAGGTAACATGGCGGAGTGGATGCCCCAGAGTTACTGGTGGCAGTTCTTGTGGGCTACCATTGTCTTAGTTGCATCTACCATCATCTGTCTAGCCGGCAGTGGACTGTTTGCACGTTGTAGCAATGCACTGCTAGTCATTCTGCTTGTTGCAACCATCAGCATTCCCCTCTCAGCTGTAGTCTTACCCCCGTTTTCTGAGCCCAAGGAGCACGTTGTGTTTACAGGTCTAAGTATGGACACCTTTCGTCAGAACCTGCTTCCTCACTTTACCCGTGGCGCAGCAGGCAGCGTAATCCATCACCGCGAGAATTTCCAAGATCTCTTCGGTATTCTCTTCCCTGCCACAGGAGGCATTCTTGCTGGTGCGAGCATGAGTGGAGACTTGAAGCACCCCAGTAAAGCCATTCCAAAGGGCACCCTGTACGGCATAGGGCTGACCTTTGTTCTATACACTCTTGTCATTTTTGCCATGGCGGCATCCATAACCCGCGAGACACTTTACAGTAATACTAATGTTATCCAACTAACCAACGTTTCTGGTGCCGTCATTCTTGCTGGCGAGATGGCGACATCATTGTTTTCAGTACTCATGGGTGTCATCGGTTCTTCTAAGCTCTTGCAGGCTCTTTCTCGCGATCACCTTATTCCCGGACTTTCATTATTTGGTCAAGGTACCAAGAAGTCTGATGAAGTACGTTCTCTCCAACTTGGACAACGAACATACAAGCCTGATATCTAATCAATCACAGCCAATCTACGCCATCGCAATCACCTATGTCATTGCCCAAATCACCATGTTTGCCGACATTAATCAAATTGCATCCTTCATCACAATGACAGTATGTCTGCTTACGAACATGTCTTACACTTACAACCTCATAGTCTAATCATTTCTAGTACCTCATGACGTTCCTTGTCACCAACTTGGCATGTTTCTTGCTTAGAATTGGATCTGCCCCGAATTTTCGGCCTTCGTTTCACCACTTCAGCTGGCAGACAGCTGCGATGGGAACTGTTGCATGCGGAGCAACTATGTTCTTTGTGGATGGCTTCTATGCTTCCGGTTGCGTGGGTCTGTTGATGATCCTTTTCCTGTTGATCCATTATACGACACCGCCAAAGCCCTGGGGAGATGTCAGCCAAAATCTCATCTTCCATCAGGTTCGAAAATACCTACTCCGTCTGCGCCAAGAACACGTCAAGTTCTGGAGACCCCAAATCCTGCTCTTAGTCAACGATCCAAGGCGACAGTACAAATTGATCCAGTTTTGCAACTCTCTAAAGAAAGGAGGTCTCTTCGTTCTAGGACATGTTATTGTTTCGGATGACTTTGGCGAAGCTGTGCCCGAGGCTAGACGGCAACAACAGTCTTGGACAAAGTACATTGATTTCTCGAGGATCAAAGCGTTTGTGAACATCGCTATTTCACCTGCCATAGAGTGGGGTGCTCGCAACATTGTGCTCGGTGCAGGCTTGGGTGGCATGAGACCAAACATCGTCGTTATGGGTTTCTACAATTTGCCGGAGCTGAGGCAAGCACAGCCTTCAGTGGGAATTCCATCACCTCAACCCTCGCGACCCACTAGCAAGGCCGCAAATAACCCCATGTCTCGGAAGGCTGTGCAAGCAGCAGCAAGGCGCCGTGTGACAGGTAACACACACAGTGCACTTCCCACTGACGCCATGAAGCCAGAAAACGCAATTGCAATTCGCAGCTATGTCACCATCGTAGAAGACCTCATTACAAGACTCCAGGCAAACGTTGCCATAGCCAAGGGTTTTCAAGAGCTTGAGGTACCACCCGCAAAGCCAACAACAAAACAAAAAACGCTCAATTTGCTCGGCTTGGGTGAAATTGACATTGACGACCCATCCAAGGAGTACATTGATCTTTGGCCGATCCAGATGTCAGCAGAGATTGCCACTACTGGTGACGAGCCCCTTCGGAAGAACGTTCTAACAACCAACTTTGACACTTACACACTCATCCTCCAGTTGGGTTGTATCTTACACACTGTGCCGTCGTGGAAACGCATATACAAGCTGAGGGTATGTGTCTTCGTCGAATATGAGACGGACGTGGAAGAAGAACGTAGTCGTGTTTCCACTTTGCTACGCAATCTACGCATTGAGGCCGAGGTTCACGTCTTCTGGCTGTCGTCCGGAGACTTGGGAATGTATGAGGTCATCATCAACGGACGCGATGAAGGAGACTTTGACCAGACTGGACGGGATATCGACTACTCTCTGGAAGATGAGCGCTGGTGGCAGGACATCAAGCGGCTTCGCCAACCGGAAAGTATGACTGCCAGCCAGGAGCTGGAACAGACGGTAGATATCCTTGAAGCCGTCACAAGCTGGCCAATCGCTTCCTTCCAACATGGCAGGCAAGATGCAAATCCGAAGCGCTTCTCTGCGCTGAGAAAGATGTTACGAAAGGCTAAACGCAGGTCGTCAGTTGGGGAAAGTGGTAGACTCACCATGCGAAGTCAAAGATTACCTGTTGCTCTCCTTGAGGACAGCGACAGTGATACGCAGCCATCGGTGACTGGAGAACTTGAGCGAGAAGATGACGATGCTGATGACGAGGGCGTGGCATCGGATAGCGAAGCCGTGGTCAGCGGCAGTAACTTTGATGAATACGACCTAGACGCATCCAGTGACGAAGACAATCAAGATGGTCCTACTACGTCGCTGCGACGCAGAAAGACAGCACCAAGCACTTCATTCTTCTCCCGCCAGCTCGACCTCCGCAAAGCCATCTGGAAAGGCAATCGCAAAGACGCCTCTTCACAAGGCGAAGAAAGACCAACCACACAATCCGTAACACCTCTCAAACCCCACTCCAACGCCAGCGCCTCCGACACCGCCATCCTCCGAGCAGAAAAACATCCAAAACCCCACAGCGTAGCCAGTTCCTCCTCCCAAATCTCCGGCTCCTCCCACCCACACCCTCCCACCATCGCTCCCCCCATCCGCCGCCAATCCCTCCCAAAATTCACTTCGAACCCCACCCCCCGCGCTGCTGTCTCCACAGAAGAAGACCCCCAAGGCCCCTCCATCATGTTCATCGACACCCCCAAACCCAACTTAGCCCCTACGCAAAACCCGCTCGATACCACCACCACCGCCACCACCTCCTCTTCTGCCGTCCAAACAAGCACCCTCCCACCCCCTTCCTCCACCCACCCCGCATCCACCTGCCAGCCTCCCACTGGCACCAGCACCACCCCCTCCTTCGCCTCCGGCTTCCCAACCCACCAATCCCTCCCCTTATCCTTCAACGACCTCCCCTGCCGCGCCCAGCACCTCATCCTGAACGAATTGATGCGCCGCCATAGCAGCAGCACCGCTGTCATTTTCACGACGCTGCCGAGTCCGCTCCAGGGAACGTGCGAGAGCGAGGCGGAAAGCGTAAAGTACATTAGTGATTTGGAAGTCTTGTGTCAGGGGTTGCCGCCCACGCTGTTGGTGCATAGTAATAGTATGACTGTTACTATGAATTTGTGAGTCTCACACCTGGGGGGAAAGGGGGGAGGAATAGTGGGGATGGAAGTAATTAAATGGTTTCTTTAAATTTTTAATATTATCTCCCCTTTTGTTTTTACATGCGGGAATTGTGAAACGAGATGTTTTTTTTGAAAGGGAGAGAAGAGGGAGGAGGAGGAGGGGGGCGGACTACTCGCTATCATCGCTACTTGAATCTTGTGGCTTCTTTCCCTCTTCCTCTTCGTCGTCGTCGTCGGCGTCATCAGGTGTACCCGTCATAGGGAATGCCTTTAAACACGTAATTCGCGTGCCTGTGGAATACGAAGCTAGTAGTTTTGCAACTTGTGGTGCTGAGAAACCCTTTTTGGACTCGCCATCTTGTTGGCTTTTGGCGTCAAGATCAGAAGTGTCAAGTGCCCAGAGACGTACGGTGCCGTCGCTGCATGCGGTGACGATGACGCAGGTGGACTGTGAAAGCGGGAGGATTTCGAAATCTTTGACTCGGCCTGTTAGGCCGGCGGCTGGACCACCGATTTGAGCGAGGAGTTTGGCGTCTGGGATATTTTGGTTCTGTTTCCCTGCTTTCTCGTCGTCTTGTTGTGGGATAGTTTTACTGGTGTCGTAGACGAGTACGCGGCCGTCTTCCGTTGAGACAAGGAGAATACTTTCTCTCTGCATCGTCTTGGGCAGATACATTATCTGATGAATTTTCGATCTGGGTTCTGGCGCGATTTTGGCTTTGGGTTTGGAATCGATGGTGAAAACGACGAGGGCACGGTCGAATCCGACGGCGAATTCCTCGCCTTCTGGGTCCCAGAGTACGCGTCGGGCTTCGCCGGAAGAAAAGCGACCTTCACCTACGGCACCCAGGATGGTGCGATCGAAGTTTAGGACGCCGGCTTTTTTGCCGGTAACGAGGTTCCAGAGGCGCATGCATTTTTCGCCTTTGCCGACGCTGAGCATGAGTTTCATGCTGGGATGTACGGCGAAGTCGTTGATACCCGAGGGGACTTCTCCAGGGCCTGCGGTGTCGCCGCTGGGTCGGCCTTGGGGCTTGGGTATTGGTGCTTTGATGGTGGAGAGGGCGGTCCAGTCACGTGTTCTTGTAATAGCAATTGTGCTGTCTTCGGCTGAACTTAGGAGCTTGCTTCGTGTGGGGAAGTAGAGCGCTGTGATGTTAGAGGAGTGGTGGAGGAGGGATCCGAGTTCCTTGTTTTTGGGGTTCTCGGTGATAGAACCGTCGTTGAGGGAAGGGAGTTTAGGTCGGTTTTTTGAGGGCGGTGCCGTTGAAATTGAGTACAAATTTATCCGCTCGTCTGTGCTGCCTGTTGCGAGTGTGATTTTAGAGGTTTCGTCCGAAAGGGGAGAGAGCGCCATGCAGCGAATGGCGGACGCATGGGCATTGAAGAGAAAAGTGTCGGTAAAGTCGACTTTTGGAGCGTCGGATTCTGGCGCTGAGGCGTCGTCTTGGCCAGTAAGGAGGGTACTTGGGATAGACGCTGCAAAACCATGAAGAACTCTTTCGTAAGAACCAGTAATAACTTGGATGGTTGTTGTGTCTGGAATCGTATTGCCATTCTCTGTGACGGCAGTCTGCACTTCAGTGGCATCCTCTACTGCAAGCTTCTGGAATTTTGATGCAACCTCGTTTTTCCTGCTCTTCAAGGCCTTGGCTGCGGCAGCGCTCTCGCCATTCTCCCTCTTCCTCTTGGCCATTGTGGATTGACTGTTGCTTTTGTTGGCGTTGCTGTTGTTGTTGCTTCTCCGCGTGCTGGTGTCCAAGATCCAGAAGTTTTTTGATGCAGCAAGCCAGGCTAGCCCCAAAACGGTAAAGCGCCATCCGCGGAGGCCTATTGGGCCCAAGCTAGGCAGGGCTTATCGCCCCAACCCTGCAATGCGGCGCGCAACAGCGAAAGCGGGTGCTCTTTCCCTCACGTTCTCGCAAGTCCCGCGCATCAAGCCCAGTATATCGCATACCACTTTTTCATCAACCAACGCGACCACCATCTCCCATAATTCATCACAACGGCGGCACTCGTGGATAACGGATGTCGGCCTCCGTTAGTCGGCCTTCATATGTCCCTCGACAGTTTACGGGAAACCCTACGCCAGGAGAAGACAAATGAAGCCGCGTAAGTCATGCTCGACAACTGTGCATCGCGTTTGCCATTTGAGCGATAATATCGATTAAATGCGGCAATGCGACACCGAAAAATCGCTCCGTTTATTTTGATAACGCGTTGTTGTGGTGTGGTGCTAATGTCATGTTTCCAGACTCGCATCCACGACGTTGCAGCGCCATTTCCGGGCTCTCTGGAAGGTAACAGGCTGCTGCAATGCCACTCTGAACGGGCACCAGCCCAGACCAGAGGACTTCGTCTACAACGAACCAGACGAAGACGAACTGCGTTTTCTCGAAGAAAACGACATTTCAAAGTAAGATGCCTCTCCCTCTGTATTGCCGCTGTACTGTCGCTACAGTTACTGTTTTGTTCGCGTCGACGCTGCCCCCCCCCCCCAAATCTGCTAACACGGTCGCGTCTCTAGAGGTCGGCGCTTCAACGATGCATCTTTACCCTACCCCGTGGCCCACACGGATACTCAAACAACGTTCTCTAGCACACTATCATTTCAGAATCCCACCAAATCAGTCTTCACAAAATCATCGCCGTCTTCAGCCGTCAGCACCCCCAGCCTTGAGGATCAACTGCGCGCTGCCTCTGCCTCGCCCTCTGATGCAATCCAATCCAAGAACATAGTCGACGCATCAATGCCAAGCGACACTATTAATGTTGTTCCTCGGGTAAAGACACCGCATGTAAAAACGCCCCCTGTGGAAGAGGAGGAAACGAAAAGGGTCAACCCTGAAGCAGCCGATGCTGTCCAGGATGCACGAGATCAGAACGATTCTGCCGCCGATAGCCCTGCTGCAGACCTCAAGGACATCGCCCCGCCAATGGACGAAGACATAGATGCTTCTGCAACCGAAGACCAGCCCAAGTCACCACAGGTCGTACATCTGCCACCGAAAGAGGAGCAAGAAGCCAGGCTGCAAGATACGGAGAGGAGGCTGAGCAAGGCTGCTGAAAAAGAACGAAAGGAAGAAGAACGCCTTGCCAACCTTCCCACACATGCGTCCATCGATGTGTCCTCGCCATCATCAACCGTTGGACCGTACTCTCAGGCAACACCACATGCTCAACATCACTCTCCCGACACTAGCCCAGACATGGAAGCCTACAAGGAACGCAACAATGTACCGCTACCAGATGACGATGTTCTTGACCCCGCTGCTCAACAAGTAAAGGAGGATCATGAGCGTGCGCTACAGAAACGAATGACGGAAGCAAGGGAACATGCTCGAGCACGTGAAGAGGACTCTCCCACACCCGACATTGAGAAGCAGCTGGAGGATGAGCAAGCAATACGCATAGCACGAGACGGAAAGAGCCGCTTAGGCGAATCACAGCCCGGAAGCGACGTGCATTCGTTGACAGAGGGCATCGACCATGTTTCACGTAATAACGTTCCAGACACGGACCAGTCGACTGAGTGGAAGACTGCCCAGGACAATGCGGTTGACTCGTTGCCAACGCCAGCTACGGTCGCTGCGGAACCTTCGGCCCTGGACCGTGACAATGCCGACCGCAGAAACAGCCAATCGCAACCTATTTCCGCTACTGTTGATCACCCCACACCCCCTGCTGACGTGGATACCGAAATGCGGGATGCACCAGCGACAGACACGCGGGGTGCAACCTCACCCCAACGGCACAACTCTCACAACGACCGTATGACCACCCGCGTCGCTTCGGGAGCAATTCGACAAAAATCTGTTTCTGAGATCATCTCAGACAAGGCGGCTCACAAGTCGATCCTCACACCTCGTTCGAGCAACCTGTCGGCTTCCACCAGTCCTCCCCGAGCGAGGACTAACCAGCGCAAATCCCAGCAAGTCTCGACCATCGTGTTTGCAAAGAAGACCCCAACCCGAGCATCCAAAGCCCTGCAGTCATACAATGAAGACTATGCCTCTCTTCAGGGTGCTTCGGAAGATTCCAGTCGAGATTACCTGGAGGGACTGTTCAAATACCAGGCTCATCACCCTCCGCGGTCTGTGCCCTTACAGGACCTTGTTGCCTCTGCAAGAAAGACGGTGTCGACAGCAGGAACACTCGCAATGATTCGTGAGCATCAAGATTACAAAATCCTCAAGAGAGTGTATCAGTTACAAAATGCCAACCGGTGGTCTTTACGACAACTTCAAAAGGCAGCTGAACCCGAACGTCCCTTTACCCACCAGGACCAGCTCCTCCTCGAAATGAAGTGGATGCAGACGGATTTCAAGGAAGAAAGGAAATGGAAGAAAGCTCTTGCTGCTACATTTGCAGAGTGGTGTGCCGAGTATGTGAGCTGCTCACCGGAAGAGAGGGCAAGCCTACGGGTCAATGCACACATCCCGAAGACTGCAAGGCGCACAAGCAACGATGAAGATATGAATGATGCCCCCACGCCAGACCTCGTCCATTCCAGCACGCATGAGACAGAGAGCGAGTCTTACGGTGAAGACGACGATGTTCTCACACCCGTCAACGCCAATCCTCCTGCTGGTCTCTTTTCTCTAGGATACAACGATGTCGTCATGAAGATTAATCGCACGCCTGCCAGCGATACCATGTTCCGGGAACTACCGCTTTACGATCCTATGTTCGAGGGCTCCAGCGACACCAATCCATTTTCTTTAACGGAACCCCCTATTCTTCCTGTTTCGAAGTTTGTCACAGGCAAGCTTGTTTCACAAATCCAAGGGCCACCAAAGAAGCGAAGTAGATACGACTACGACTCTGAAGATGAACCTTCGACGCCGCCAAGTCGATGTGGAACCTCAGCAGAGCATTCGATGCCATCTACTCCAGGTCGCAGACTGTTCTGCCGCAATGATCTGCCACCAGAGATGACCAATGTTGCATTGTTCAATGCTGAGAACAAGCACGTCCGTGACCGTCTGCAAGCCGCCCACCAGTTCAGGCCACCAACAGAGTTCAATATGCCTACTGTATCTTTCTTCGAGAACCGGACTCCGTCACAGTGGCTGTGGGAGGAAGACCAGAAACTACGAGCTTTGGTCAAGGAGTACACCTTCAACTGGTCTCTGGTTTCTCAGCAACTGTCTCTACCATCGCTATTTGTATCTGGGTCAGGTCGTCGGACACCTTGGGAATGCTTCGAACGCTGGGTGCAGCTCGAGGGACTGCCAGCAGAAATGTCAAAGACACAGTACTTCCGCACCTACCAAGGTCGATTGGAGCAAGCGAACAAGACTGTATTTGCTCAGTTCCAGGCCCAGCAGCAACAGCAGCAGCAGCAAGGACAGACACCAGGACAGCCGCGCCGAAGACCCACAACCACGCCAATCAGAGTTGAGAGGAGAAGAGAGAACCGTCATCTCGCCATTATTGATGGCATGCGCAAGTTAGCCAGGAAACGCGAATCTGCTGCCCACAAGCAAGCCGAGTCTCAAAAGGCTGCTGCGCTTCGCAAGGCACACGAGCCTGCGCCACCAAAGAACACCGTTCACACGCCTCAAGAGTTCAGTCGTCTCAAGTGGGAACGCGAAGAGAAGCTGAAGCAACGGCAAATGGCGCAGGAGATGATGGCTAGAGTAAGATATCCCCATCCCGAAAGTTTGTACGCTTCTGACACCACACAGCAACAAATGGCAGCACAGCGGCAGCAAGCCCAAATGCAGGCACAGGCAGGGATGACGAACGGTGTCAGCAATCAAATGCAACGTAATGGCACGCCTGGGGGCAACAATATTCCTCCACAAATGGCTAATGCGTCTATGCAACAGGGTCAGAACGGCCCGACAATGGCTGCCAGGGGGCACCAATCCCAGCAGGGTATGCCAGCTAATTTCGGAAATGGTAACATGTCTGGTGTCCCCATGGGCACACCAGGTGTTCCCCAGGCACAGATGCAGGGTAGCATGCAGAATGGACAACGTATGGGCCCGCCGGAACAGATGCGTATGGCAATGCAAAGAGGCCAGTTCAACGCTAACCAACAACATCAATTCCAACTCCAGCAACAACAAATCAACATGGCTAGCAATCTGTCCCAGGGCATGGGTATGAACGGCATGCCAAACGCGAACATGATGGCATCCATGCCGAATCAAAACATGAATGGTGCCATGAACAGTGCCATGAACGGAATGTCGAACAACGCCGGATCTCCACGGATCAACCAGAGTAACGGAAACATGCAAACCCCTGCACGTCCCCTATCCAGCGGGCACATGCCTCAACTCCTCCAATTCCAAAATCAACTAAAGGTACAGCATCCGGACTGGACCCCAGAACAAGTCACAAAACAGGCCTCCGACCACCTCTCCCGTTTCCTGGCTAAGCAACGTACACAGGCAATGAACGCAGCAGCTGGATCACCTGGCGTATCTCCTGGTCCGCAAATGGCGAACAACCAGTACTTCCAGCAGAATGGTGGCATGGCCAATACTCCTCAGCCAAATGCGGTACAGAACTATCAGCAGCAACTTGTTCAGCAACAGCGGCTGATGGCCAGACAGCAAGCCGGTAGTCCAGGACTGAATGGTCGACCTCCCAGTCGAAGCGCGACGCCGCAGAACCCGCAAATGCAACAGAGTCCGGGCATGCAGCAAGCGCAGATCAACCGGACTTAGGTGTCCCGATTGGTAGTAGGGGCCTCGCGCGAAAACGCCTCCTCCTCATCGTTGCCCTGTATATACTTTTAATGTTGCTTGTTTAGCGTTGTTCTTCTAAAGCGTGAGAAATCTGTTTCATGGTGCACAGTGGAGGAAATGCCTAGTTGAGAAAGCATGGTGTTATCGGCGTTTGGCGGCGCTATTGTGAATTGTAGAGGCAAGGTGTTTTGGACAGGGGGACTGTGGGCAGGTGAGGAGGAATTGGTCTTTTTCCAGCTTTTGCTGGCTACATTGCACTTCCTGCCAACGAGGCTTGTAGAAAAAGCCCGTAGAACTTTCTGAATATCAAACCACTCGAGCATACTGTCGAGGACAATTACCTTCACTGATATTCCTTGTGTTGCTGTGTGTGGAGTTGGATTGACTGTATGTGATTATGATTGATTGACTTTGTCTTGATTTTGTACTATTGCGTCTTGATGTCTGGTAAGTAGTGCCTCTGAACGAACATGGCCAGGAACTAGGGCCTTCGTGTGGGGCCGCACGTTCACGGTCAGGGCGGTGAGAGAGGGCACAAAGAACATCAAGTGCGGACTAACAACCTCACCTCCGAGCATCTCTACCCACAGCCACTACATTCTGTCGCAGTCTTTACCTGTGGCCAATCAACCTCCCCAAACCAGTCACCTTGCTCGATCCTTTGGATTCAAGCCTTTATCAACCCTCAAGTAGAGAAGTTTGCCTCTTCGCCGCGCAAGTCTCAGGCAATCGCGTCCATACACACGACCAGGAAGAGTAGATTTAAGAAGACAATACCAGCACCATGAACGCGCCAGACAGGTATGTCTTGATTTTTTTCGTTTTCGATCCAACATACATGGTCATCTTCGGTATGCGCGGTCCATGATTCTGTGTTGCTGTGCGAGGACGATGCACCGCAACGACTATGCGACGTGGATTCACCACCCGCCCACGCAAACGTCTGGACAGCGCAACCTCTTGCATTCATGCGACTAGCATATATACACAGCACCCTACTCTGCCTATACATTTTTCTACACAAAGCTAATATTGATCTCCCCCAGATTCGAGCTCTTCCTCCTCGACGAAGGCCAAGAAAAAGTCGAAGAAAAGGCGGAAACCCGTACGTCGCCTTTCCCTTCTCCTCCCTCGCCTTCTCGCTCCTACTCCCTCTATAACCCGCTGAACTCCTCCCCCCTGGCTAACCCTCCCACCCAGGCGTCCCCAACACCGCCGTCTTCACCTTCAACAAAGAAGACCACACCCTCGGCAATCTGCTCTCTCAGCGCCTCCTCAAAAACCCCGCCATCATGTTCGCCGCCTACAAGGTCCCGCACCCGCTCTTCGCCACCTTTGAACTCCGCGTCCAGACCGACGGGTCCATCACGCCGAAAGAAGCGGTTATGAAGACGTGCAGAGAGGTCATTGCCGATTTGAGTAAGCTGAATGATAGTTTCCAGACGGAGTGGATTGGAAAGCGGATTGTGAGTGAAGGCGAGGCGGAGAGGGCGATGAGGGAGCAGAATAATTTTTAAGAGATGGAATAGAGAGGGAGAGAAGGGGGGGGGCATGGGAAGGCGTTTTTTGATCACGCTTGGAGATGAGTATTGTGGATCATGACATTTGGCGTTTTGGGGGGTTTGACTTGAGGGCAATACGAATTTTATCGAAGAATGAAAGATATCTATTTGCGCGTATTTGTCGAGTTGAGGAGGGGGACCTTTTGTGATGTAAATTGCTGTGAGATCGAGACAAGGGGATATGAGAAAGGGGAGTTAAATATTGCTTGTTAATATTGGGAAGCCCGTCGAGTCTAACAGCCACGGGGACAATTTTGTCTGCGATTGCGATTGCACATGTAATTAGGAAAATGCGACATGTCCGTTTAATCGAATTTATTTTCTTATGCCTGACATCTACTTTTTACCATACTCTCCGTATACCCTCGATTCCACAGGTGAACAAAGAGGAAGGAGATAAATCTATCTACTCCCCATCCTCAAGATCAGACCATCTCCCTGACGTAGGTCTAGTCGCCAGAGGCACCTCCTGCTCCGAAGCCACAGTTTTATCCTCTTCACCAACAGCCATAGACTCCGAAGCTTCGGGCACATCCGTTGGCACAGCACCCTCATCTTCCCTCACAATTTCACTGCTCGAACTACTAGTCTTCTCCTTCTGCTCCTCCTCTTCCTCAGCTGCCTCCCAGTCCTCAGCCACCTCAACAGGCGTCTCCTTCTTCTTTTTCTTGCTGCTCAGACTCAAGACTGCGAAGCCACCTTTGTTGCCAAACGGCGTGCTCTTCTGCACTTGTCGTGTAGGGATGCCCTTTGATGCTGCGACTTGGCTCCAGCCGGATCCGGGTCCGACGTCTGATTCTTTGCGGAGAACTGTCATAGTCGAGTCGAGGCGCGCGAGCTGGATTTTGCCGATGCTTTGCGCGTTGAGAGCTTGGGACAGCGGTGCTCGGATGGACTCAAGCATGGCTTGCATGTCGGGTTCTGGGATACTGAGACGAGCTGCTAGAGGCGGCTTCAATGCAACTGACTCATCCGAGAGAAAGGTTATTTCCAGTTCGCAGCGGAAAGACGTAGTTGCCAGTACACTCTTGACGATAGGAGCGAGCTCCTCTATAGTGAGTGCAAAGCGAGGATTGAGGATAAGGAATGCATTGTATGGATCGGCATTTGTAGTGCTGGCCTTGGGGCGGAGTGTTGTAGACGAAGAGGCAGCTGGAGCCGGTGCAGGAGCAATACGCTGTTGGACTTGACGAGTGCGTGCACACTCTGCAAGTGTTCGCATTGGTGCCATGACAAACTTTGGGGTCTTGAAAATGGCCACATGGCGATGAGGCTCCGGGTCCATACTCTCAGAATCCATGCCGAAGTCTTCTGCAAGTGAGTGTATGAAGGCACGCTGGTTGCGAGGCATGGGCTTGAATCGGAGGCGCTTCTCCTCTGGATCAGCTGCGAAAAGCCGCAACTGCTTCTCTTGCGTGGCTGCCCAAGTAGAATTCTGTTGATACATATTCAAAGTAGCATCGGAATAGGGGATATGGTCGTTTTGGTGGGCTGGATCGACGTTGAGAGCAAGCGCTAGAACTCGGTTTCGCTCAAGGCGGGCACACTCGTCGTCGCACTTGAGGTTCTTCTTCAAGTTGCCGTCGCTATTCTTCGACGCGTTGCATTTGGCCTCTTGCTTGATTCTCTGGCAATCGCAGGTGACGAAAATCTTATGCGGGCAAGGCTTCTCCTCTGTACACGGATGAGGGAAGTGGCATGGAGCCAAGCATGGATGACCACAGGTGTTGAGCTCCTTTCCGCAGGCCTGGGTGCAAGGTTCTTCACATTCTCCGGGTCGGTGACATTGCTTCTGGCACTTATGTGTGCCGCACTTGAGAGTACGACCACACACCTGGCCACAGCGGACTTCGTTTAGCCAGCACGGCTGGTTCTTGAGAACACTCTTGCCACACAAACATGGTTTCGTAGTCAGAAAAGCGCATTTGGGGCAAGCCTGGTCGTCCTGATGGCAACTGTGGTCTAACTGAGGATGACCACACTCCTTGGGCCGCTCGCACTTGAATCGGCAAGGTGGTGGTTTGGTACCGCAGGGTAGAGGAGGCTGCAAGACAGTGCGTCCGCAATTGCAACTGAGTTCGTCGAAGATGGCATCGCGACACGTTCCGCATGGACCTTTGTGACAAAGTTCCTGGCAACGGTGCTCAGGATTACCACATTTCAGCTGGCGGCCACAGCTGCGAGTACAGATATGCTCTGATTCAAAGTTTTCAAGGGGCCGGCGAGGTGCTGAGTCCAATGGTCTCGGCTTGCGACGGTTAGACTGCCGTTCGGCAGCCTTTCTCTCGCCAGCACAGCAGCGTTCGCCACACTCGTGTCGTCCACAGTTCAACGAGACACGGCAGACGCGCATACACTGAGGAGGCTCTTCGGTGCCTTGATGACATATCGTCGGAGAAGACGTACGGCCGCATCTGCACGAAATGTTGACTTTTTCCAGGCATGGCCGACACTCGCCCTGATGGCAGTGTTGCCGGCATGTATGTCCGCATGCCAGCATCTGCCCACAGGGTTTATCACAGTTAGGTATCCCGTCTTCGCAGTTTGTCCGAGTTTTGTTTGACATGTCGCGCAGTGCAGTCTTGCCACAAGGACAGTGGGTGACCACATCCGGAGATCGTGGACAGTGAGGTGCTTCCAGATTCTGTGGGTGGCACGCCTGTTCGCATGTGTGCTTTCCACAATCAAAAGAACGACCACATTTGTTAGGACATTGAAACGAGCCGACCCAGTTCTCTGCCGTACTAGTGCCGTCTGCAGCGACATGCAACTGGCTGCTGTCCTTTTCAATTTCTCGGTCATGACACAGAATGTCCTTCTGGACCTGGCCACAGTAGCAACGCGCTGGCACTCGCTCTTCACAAGCGCCACAAGGACCATCATGACATGGTCGTTCGCAGCGATGTTGTCCGCAAGACATGAGTTCTCCGCAGATGTTACCGCAGCTCCAACCGTGCTCGTAATCGGTATCGACGCAGCGACGTGTCACTGACTTTTTGCCACAAAAGCAGTGCTGCGTAGGTCCCATTAAACTGCAAGGCGGGCAGGGTCCAGCATGGCATGTCGAATCACAAGGATGTGGACATGGCTTGGGAAGTACTCGTGGTCGTGAACAAGATTGGCCGCACGAGAACGGGGGTATACCAGGTGTGGAACGAGGGTCCAGCTCCTTCTCACACCAGCAGTGAAAGTTCTTTGGCAAAACATCCTTTGGCAAATTGCATCCTGGACAACGCCATTGCCTCGGTGGAGGCGTCTCTCCGTCCTGGGCCTGTTGTCGTGCCGCTGCTGAGCCCTCGTTGGTTGACCATTTCTTAATGCATCCTAAGTGGAATACTGTCCAACATGTCCTACACGACCAGACGCCCCGCGTTCGTCTCGTAATGTCCTCTGTACAGATGGCGCACTCGTAATGGCCGTTGTCAATGTCTTCGTGTGTTCTAGTGGCAATATCGGGCGCAGTCGACTTTGGGGCTTGTGGTTGCTTTTGTTTCGGTGGTCGTGGCTTGCGAGTGGGAATCGGCTTGCCTGGCTGAAAGGCAGGTGCGTCTGCTTGTAGTCCTTGGGGCGTCTCTGAGGACACGGATCCAGTGTCATCCTCAACAGTCAACTGCCCACCGAACTGACGGCCTCCAGCAGCTATCCGCTGGGGAGGACGCTCTGAGCCACCTCTTCCGCGACCACTGCCTCGTCCTCCACGTCCACCTCTTCCACCCCGATGTGCGGCTTCCTGTACAGAGGCAGGTACTAGATCGAGTGCAGCACTAGGCTGCGCATGGGCTGCTGGGCCATTGCGGCCTCCTCGACCACGGCCCCTGCCGCCTCGAACGCCGCCTCTTTGTGACTGCTGTCCTGGTTGTGGTTGCTGTTGCTGCTCTGGCTGTGCGGGTGTGTCTGTGCTGGCATTCGCATTCGTGTTTCGATTCCGTCCACCTCGTCGCCTTTGTGGTGCTCGTGGGGCATTTCCTGGAGCAGATGCCGGCGGCTGGGAGGCGACTGTGGGAGTCGACATATTTTGTGGTCCAGAAGTGATTGCGCTGGTGGCTGAGGGAATATTGATCATACAAAGGCCTCGGGCCGGGAAAGAAAGAAAATTGAGTACAATAGCAAGCTCTAGTATTTGTACGGCCTGCTGAACTGGGAAAGGAAACAAACAAGAAAAAAAGACAGCTTTTGGGGGTAATGCCGGGGAAGCGTGCAGTGGCGAGCAGTTTATATTGCAGAAACGACACGCGCAGGTACGCTAGGATGGCCGTTTCGAGAAGACGCAGCCACCGAGATGAGTCAAGTCGCACTCATTCCTCGGCCAGGCCAGGCCAGGCAGCCAGGCACAACTGCGGCAGTGCGGCTCTACAGTATTAACAATCGGGTGGCGCAGGGAGTGTGGATGCGCATAGCTTTTTGTGGATGCGTGGTTGGATGAGTGGTGAATAATTTATGGCGCTGCCGAATTTCCATTGTCATTTGTTGCATGCATGGGGAGCAAGCGCGTCATAGGGCCTGGCCGCCACTGTGGCTAGTGAGAAAGTGTGGCTGACAAGTGTGGCTGGTGCCGATGCATGGCTGCCGCATCGCGTTTGAGCTTCAGCGAACATCGCGGACAAGCAACCAGACCCCATCAACCCGCCATCCCCCGATATCATCATGGTCAAGACTCTCGCCGGCGCCCTTGCCCTCGCGGCTCTACCCTCGGCCCTCGCATTCCGCAACACGTCGCCATTCTTCCTCTTCTCTACGGCCGAGTACGCCTGCCAGCTTCCCGTGCATCCTCACGTCTCCAAGCTAACCACCATGCAGCTTGCTGGTCCCAAACAATGACGCCGCCATCGCCGCATCATCGGACGTCACCGCCGACGTCCTCAAAGCTCTCGAGCACTGCCCCACCAAATCCTACCTCGTCGTTGAGCAGAGGGGCGTCGCCGCTGCCGACTACGCTGATGGCCGCGCTGCACCCCAGCTGAGCAGATACATGGCTGGCAAGCACGCTGAGGTCAAATCGACTGTCGCTATCCCCGACATTGCTGGCAGCATCGACACGAAAGCTATCACGGAGCACCTTGTGACCAAGTGCGGAAAGGGCTACAACGATGACGACGTGTGGTTTGAGAGGAAGACATTCGCAGCGCCGCCTACATCCAAGGCGCTTCGCATCGAGCAGCTTCAATCCGATGGTTTGTTTCCATACGGCTGAGATGCGGCGCCAAAACTGACCTGTGCAGATGCGACACTCGAGCAATTTATCGTCAATGACGCCAAGGCTGACGACTACACCGTCATTTACATCACCACACCTCAGACTGAGTCGCAAGCAAAGGAGTCTATCCAACAACAGTACGAGATGGACATGCCCTTCCCAGACGCTGTCCAGATGGAGCTCAAGCGCGACCTCTCCTCCCACGCTAAGCGCGCCAACTCGACCAACAGCGGCCTGTTTGAGAGGTACCAATACTTCACACCCGGCATCTTCATGGGCTTTGCTGCCATCATCCCGCTCTTCCTGATCCTGCTTGTCGGTATCCGGGCCCTCACCAGTCTCGAGGTTTCATACTTTGCCTTTAGCAAGGAGATGGGTCCAAATGCCCAGAAGAAGCAGTAGACGGTGTCAGACTTGGAAGTGAACTTGTCAGTGTATCTTGTACGATTTGTGCGTTAGTAAGCATGGGCCGACGGCGTTTGTATGGATTTTGGATTAGTAGGGAAATACCAAGCTTGACATAACTAGTTTTTGCTTTACCCGTTGCATTTGATTGCAACTTCACAGATGCCTAAGCCGTGCACTTCACGTTTCGCCATTTAGCCATTTACACCGTCGGACAACATTACGCATCGTGCTTCCATTGCTCTATGGAGCCATACGACTTGCACAAGGGCGGGTTGTTCGGGAACTCTGAGGTAAGGATCATGTCTAGTCGGTTCCCCAACTTTGCCGAGACTTCATCCTACCCGCACCACTCACAATGACGGTGAGCACTAGTTTCAGGAAACAACCCTATGTATGACACTGATGTATAAGTGCCGTCCCGCCTAGCGGGGTGCACTTTAGCTTTGCTTGGATTGTGATTTCGATGGCAACTTAAGCATCACCGCGTTGGCCATAACCCGATATCTCTTTGCACACACTTATTCTTCTAGTCCTTCTAGCACTTTTTAACTAAGAAACCTAATCAGAAGTCTCATTATGGCTCCAGAGAAACCTATGGATATAATCATTCTGGGAGGTGGTATAGCCGGCCTGACCACTGCTCTTTCTCTCACCAAGTTCGCACCAGCCTCCCAGACACCCAATATCACCATCTACGAGATCCGACCCGAGCCCGCAACCATCGGCGGTGCTGTGAACCTGACACCAAATGCTCTCCGTCTTCTTTCACACCTAGGAGCGCTTGACGAAATCCGTGCCCAGGACTATGGCGCAGAGTGCTTTGCCGTGGAAGTCTTCGACCTATACACCAACGTCAAGATTGCCGAATCATCCTTCAAAGGCCCTGAAGGAAAAGGCCTGGGAGACCCACCATTTACAGCGCTGAGAATAACACGAGGCGAAGCCCTAAAAGGCGTCCTTGCCGCCATTGAAAAGCACTCAAACATCCAGCTCATCTGCGGGAAAAAGACCACGAAAATCGACGAAGACTCCACCGGCGTAACCATCGAATTCGAAGACGGAGACAGCGCACGAGCCGACATCCTAATAGGCTGCGACGGCATCCACAGCGTCACGCGCCTCAAGCACGTCGAGCCAGAGCGCAAAGCCATGTACAGTGGCATCTGCAACGCCTTTGGCTTTGCCCCCCGCCGCAAAGACCCCAGCACCGGCACCTTCGAGCCCACGTATTTCAGCGTCAGCGGCATGAACTTTGGGCGCCGCGGTATGCTCTTAACTTCCTTCCACGACCGCGCGCAAGAAAGCATCTACGTCGGGGCTCTCATGCAAGTTCCCGAGATCGCGGACCGCAACGGCTGGAAAGCTGCGGGTGCGGATGCTCAGAAGACGCGGGATGAGATGCTAGAACGCTACTCTGGGGCGGCAAATCCGCAGATTGCGCATTGGATTGAGGATGCGGAGGGGCTGTATCTTTGGCCTGTGTTTACACTCTCTAAAGGGGGGAAGTGGGCGACGGAGCGGGTTATGCTTATTGGTGATTCTGCGCATGCGATGCCGCCCCAGGGAGAAGCGACGGGAATTGTTTTTGAAGATGGTGTGTTGTTTTCGAGGTGTTTGGCCCGGTGGATGCAGACGGGACGGGAAGAGGGTGCGCCGGTTAAGGAGGCGTTTGATGCGTATGAGAGGCTCAGGCGGGCGAGGATTGATACGGCGTTTGATGAGAGTCAGAGTGTGGTGAAGACGGTTCAGGATACGCCGTGGTTGGGGCATAAGATTAAGATGAATGTTGTGCCGTGGTATCTTTGGTGGACGAGGGGGTATCGGGAGAAGCATTTTGTGGAGGATGTTACGGCGTGTGATATTGGGTATTGAGGGATAAGAAGAAGGAAACTTGCTTTTTGTATTCATGATCTAACCCCCTCCAAGTATAAAAGTAACGTCTAAAAATATTGAAGACTAATTGAGTATTAAGCTCAAATTCTTTTAACATACCGATTCGCAGGAAGGAGTTTTCAAGTTTTGGTGCCGTAGAAGCTTTCTTGGTATCTTCTCCTTATCAGGACTCCTGCACCAATTTCAGGGACAAAAACACAGCCTTATGCTGCTTGTATGCAATGTGTAATAAAATCTCCCAACAGGATTTTACATTGTTCCATCCCTTACTTAAACACCCCTCTTCGCCTTACTATTGTTCTCCCGTCCGCACTTCGCCACACTATCACTTCGACTTTTAAGTAGATTGACCTTTCTTTTTTTTAAAAAATACTCGGAACAAACATATAACTCTCTCTTCTCTTTCACTCGATTTCTCCATTTCCAACATCAGTCCCTTCTCTCCTCACTGTCCGGACTAATTCGCTATTTATCAATCTGTATCCGCTACTACGCCTCTCCTATCATTCTTCTGATAACCTTCTCTTTTACGAAACACGATACACCTACCCCAATATTAAAACACTTCAAAAGAACCAAGACCAAAACCACACCATGCGCCCCTACTTCGACGCTTCAGAACTCCCTTCCTTCCGCACCCTATCAGCCAACCACGAAACCCGCGCCTTCCACACCTCCACTGCCCTCCAAATAAACTGCGTCCTCGCCCTCTACTCAGCCTCCTCAAAAACCTCTACACAAAAGCCCCAAACCCTCCCTCGCACCAACCCTCCCTCTGCAAACCCGACCACCTCACCTCGCCCAACTTAACCCACCCCCTCATCCTCCTCCGCCGCCGCACCTCACAAAGTCTTCTCCCCAACCACCTTCCCAAAATACTCAAAACAAAACTTCCCACCCACGAAACTCGTCCCTAGCCACTTCCACCACGCGCCACTCCCAGCGCTCACCCCATGCTTGGATAGTTTCGTAGTGAACCACGCGGTTTCGGCTGCGTGCGCAACGTACAGGAAGTAGAAGAGGAAGTTTTGTGTGTAGCGCAGGTACCGTGCGACTGTGGCCGGCAGGACGGTTGAGGAAGGGAGGAGGAAAGAGGGGGTGGGGAGGGCGGATAAGGCCATTACTATGCCGGCGACGATGATTTTGTTGCGGTAGGGGTGAGGTGGAGGGTGGTAGGTGTTGTTTAGGGATTTCGGGGACATGATTTCGGGGGGTTTTTTTGGTAGAGTTCTTTTGGGGTGATGATGCTGGGTGATGAGGGAGAACTTTGGCGCTGTTGTTTAGGTTGTGGTGTTTACCAGTTTGGATTGGGAATGGGAAAAGCAAGTGGATGGAGAAGGGGTTTCTGGTTGGATTTATGTGTACGGACGTCGATGGTGATGGTATGTTACGGACTAAAATCGACGGGTGGGTAGCGAAGTCTTCTGAGGGTGGTGTATAATGAGGCGGGGAAGAAATTGGAGATGGGCCGAGGTTCTTGGGGTTTGCACTTGCATACTTGGCTAGATAAGCGGTTTGAATGTTCTGAGGGGGGATTGATAGCACAGTCGATGGAAAATGGCGTATCTAATTGGATCCTAGGGATGAATATCAGGATTTTCTTTTGTATCTTCGTTATGCTTTAATTAACGGCATGTTGTGCTGTGGGCGGCATTGAGAGATCAGCACATTGCCGGCGCTAAGTGGTGGCTGTTTCGTATAATATATCAGTGGCGCAAGATGCTTTTCGGGCCATGGCCAGTAGTAATGCTGTCAGCGCCGTAGTCGAAGCTTGTGAATAGTGGCATTGAGGGGCTTGCTGCTTGGGGCTTCATTGGTGGGCAAAGAAACTCAACTCTAAAGTTCAATGACTAGTTACCTTTTATTTGTGAACAAGAAATAGAATGTCGTACAACAGAGATATATCTTGAACGCGTCAAGTCCAGTATGCCGATTTTGGATTATAGTGTGATCAACACGGGACATGCAATTCACCAACACGGGCTGTTCCGATGGAGCGCAGCGCTGAACTCACAGCCGTTCTGCCCCTGAAGTGTATCATCTTTTCTCCACAAGAGCAAAGCATGAGGTCAATTAGAACAGATCTTAGACGAGACATTGACTGGTATGCAGAGAAAGCTGTCCAACGAACTACTTGCCAAAGTACCCTCAAAGCCAAAAGAAGTAATTCAAAAGCTATCCGATTTCGATTTCGACTTCGATACTTATGTCCCAAAGCAAATCTCGAGCCCGTCAAAAGAATGCAATCCTCTGGATCACAAAACCGTTATCGCACAAGCGCAGCAAACAAAAAACCACTCAAAACCACGAGTCATGTGCACTGACCGGTCTTGCTTCAGCAAAAGGCTACACAACAACCTCAAGAGCCGCAACCTCTCAATACCGATTACTGAGAAAAGAAAACGAGAACCCAATGCAACGCATAGCAGTAGTGATACCAGAAAACCCTCCAAGCAACCCACATGCCAGTAGTAAGTAATCGGTCCAATCTATGCACATATGCACACACTACGACCAAGTCTCCAACCCAACACGTCCAATTTCCTCATACGGTAAATGCAGCACAACAACCATTGATTCCTGGAACGGCTGCAAACACCATACTAAGGGCCGTAAAAGGGCATGCAGGCCTAGCTAGCCAGCTCCCCAAGCGGGCGGGAGGGGGGGAAAAGGGTAGACTACGACGTCATTGGTTTGCTGGGACCGGTCGGCTGCTGTGGAACGGGGGGGCGGCGGGCCACCGTCTATGCGGCCGGCTTGGAAGGGGGGGTTGGTGGTGCGTAAGTTAGTATGTTGGTGCTAACCGGAGATTGATAGAGGAAAAAATATTGACCCTTGGAAGTGCAGGTCGTGGGTCTGGTGCGAGGAGGGGGGTGCGGTGCTAGCCGCTTGTGTGGGTGGAGGTTGGTGTGGGACGGGGTTTGAATGGGGAGTCTGGCGTGAGAAGGGAGGGTGTTTATTGGGGATGTGTGGGAAGGTTTGTTCTAGTGTTTTTCGTAGCAGGTGAAGGTTTTTGCTTCTTACATGCATGTACGAGAGGAGAGCAGTTGAGGCGGAGCTACGCCGAAGCGTGCAGTTAGCATGTGTGTTGTGCGTGTGTGTGTATGCAACCTTCTTTCAAAGGCATTAAGAAATGACGTTATGTTTTTTCCTTTTTTCCCTTTCCAAAGCCGACTGCCTCATCTATCTCCTACAGGACAACAGGCATGCTAGTAATGAAACGGAAGGTTTACATCCATCCATCCACCTTTTACTGCAAGTACATCTGTACAAGTACCATCACCCCACACATGACGGGCATAACAAAGGCACCCTGCCGCAGAGCAAGATTCCACGGCAACACTACGGGCCAAACCCACACATACCCGGCAGATATAAATGCAAATGCATGCACCCACACCCTCTACGCCGGCAGCCTCCGCCAGCCCAGCCCCAGCCCGCGGAAAGCCATTTGCCCGGCGTGCGCGCGCCGGCACGTGCTAATCCAATGCCGCCATCACTCCCCCCCACCAACGGCGAGCCCGCCCCATTAGTCTCCTGCACACAATTCACTTTAAACGACAAAGTCATGCCGCTCTCCCAAGCCCCCCCCCTTCAAAACAGGGAATATCCCCCCAAACGGACAACGCCCTGGCTACGCGATACCTACATGGGCCAAGGGTCCGGTGTGCGCATTGCATATCCACCAGCAAGGTGGAGGGACCTCGCCGTACGGGCCAATGGCTGTGTGACAACGCCGAGGGTGGGTGCAGGAGAGAGGCGAGGCCAAGAGGAATACGGGGCTGTTCATGGATGATGCCTTGAGGCTCACAGCGATCGATGGGAGTTTTGCGAAATTGCTTGAATGGGAAATATTGGGGGTGTGATGGGAGAAGGTGGAGCGAGATGTTGGTGGGTAGGGAATGACTCGTTCGTTCACTGGTTTTTTCTGGTGGGTTGGCTTGGAAGAGGAGTGAATATGTGGGAAAGATTGCGATTTTGAATATTTACAAGGTAGAAGAGACATTGCGGTTGTTGTATCACACGGTTTCTTGATCGCAAGCCCTTTGGTTTACTTCCAACAAACACCACTGGTTGCCCAAATTCCCGCGCCGTTTGCAACGCAACGGAAATCTATACAGCGGTGACGTTCTTGCCGTTGAGCACGTCCAAGAACGCCGTGTAGGCGGGCTTCTTCTGGAAGTTGTCGTTCCACAGCAAAGCCGAGCCCTCGCCGTTGAACGTGCCAGGAACCCAAGAGTACTTGTCGGCAACTCCCTACAAATCTTCGTCAGCCTTTAAATTCACCAAATCCCTTGTTCTCTTTCACAACGTCTAGGGAAAGCGAAGCCATCTTAAAGGAAATAGAGAGGGAGGGAAAAGGAGGATTAAACGTACCCAAACAGTCATACCAATACACCTCTGCACATTAATACAACTCTGCGCGACCCTCGCCCACGCCGCCGCCGCATCCGCAAGTTTCTGACTGGTACTCGGATTCTTCGATCGGATATCCAACTCGGTGTACGCAACATCGACATTCAGATCCGCATAATCCTGCAGCACCTTTGTCAGGACCTGGACGCTGGGGGTGACTTGGCTAGCCGTGTTCGTAGGCTCAGACACCAAGTGGCCCTGCAGACCGACGCCGTCGATGCGGAGGCCCCAGGACTGAATCAGCTTGACGATGCGGAGCGCGCCGGCGTGCTTGGCGCTGCCATACTCGAGGTTGTAGTCGTTGTAGTAGAGCTTTGCGGATGGGTCGGCAGCAGCGGCCATGCGGAAGGCGATGGGCATGTATTGTTCGCCGATGAGGCGGAGGAAGACGTTGTCGCGGTTTGTGCCGTCTTCGTTGAGGGCTGTGTACGTTTGTGTGAGATTTTGTCCAGAAATTTATTTGTTGGGGGGTTTGGAGGAAGAAAAGATGGAAGTACCTTCGTTGACTACATCCCAGTGTGTGCACTTGCCACGGTATCGGCCCATTACCTGCTTGATATGGTTCTCCATCACGCTCATCAATGTGGCGTTGTTGTTGATCTGGTTCACCCAGCCTGGTAGCTGGCTGTACCAGACCAGCGTGTGGCATCGCATTTGCTTGCCATTCTGAGTGGCAAAGTTTGCAACGGCGTCGGCGTTGCCCCAGTTGAACTGGTTGCGGTTGGGCTCAGTAGCATCCCACTTCATGGCATTCTCAGGCGTGATGGAGCCGAATTCTGAGCTGCGGATGATGTTTTGCTCCGTGTTGTCGTTGCGAATGGTCAGTGAAGTGCCGATGTAAGAGCGGCCTCGAGCACGGAAAGCAGCATCGAGAGCGTTGGCTGTTTGCCTGACTGAAAGAGGCGTGCCAGAGGCAATACTGGCTAACGCCAGGGCAGTGGTAAGAATTGAGAAATGCATCGTTGAGTGAAACTCGGTGAAGTTCTGTCCTTTTACTACGTGGGATCGTTTTCCTATTTATGCAAATGTATTCATCACACATAATGGCTGGAGGCATCTCGGTTTCCACCTCTTTCATCTACGCGTTACCCGAGTTGATCTGAATAACCGTCTTGTCATGGATACGAGGGTGGAGTTCCCCGTATGACTGTTGTACACGACGGCGATCATAGTGCTTAGACTAGGTGTGGATACACCATGTCTGCAATCGCATTTTGCCTCAGCCAGTCAGCGTGATTCAGACCTATAAATCCCCTGAGTAACGAGAATTGAGCCAACGATACTCACTCTACGCAACTCTTAAGATTGCCAACTATAATGCAGACCCAAAAATATAGCTGTGCTCAAGCCAGGGACGTATCCTCGCTGGCGAAGAGGACGTTTGACACTGCCCTATTACTGGTTCGGCATATATGACGGCAGACATGGTGTAGGTGTGAATATATGGGGTAGTGTGCTATGCATCGGGCAAGGCGTCACATGGGTCTTCTCGGAGATATTAAAATATGCGTTTAAAAAACAACCGATGGGCTTGGTATTCAACTCATAGTGCGGGGAAAGTGCAAAGCTTTAGCCCTGGCTTTTAGCCTCTTTACCCGTTGCTATCTCGCCCAACACCATAGCCGTATGTCTGCAAGGAACCGCTATGGAATCAAGAGTAAAAGGCTTGTTTGTAACCCTGCTAGCTGTTACGCCTTGAACTTCGGACGCACCATCAGACCCAGAAGATTGGCTACGCCGCCAGTAACCGTATATTTACCGAGCTGCTTGATGTCAAAGTCGAACCGGCGGATAATCTTCATCAGTTAGTATTCGTATATGTGAGGCGTCATCTGCCTTGCAACGTACCTCTGGCAGCAATTTATGCGATTCCAGTATTGCCACGTCTTTACCCAGGCAAACCCGTGGTCCAACGCCGAATGTGAACTGAACCGCCTCCATGTCAAAACTCCTTTGCTGGCTTTCTAGCCACCTCTCTGGTTTATATTCGTTGGCGTCTTCGCCATAGAATTCTCTGTTTCGTTGAATCGTGTACGCAAAGTTCGTAACGTCGGTGCCTTCGGGCACAAAGTGGCCGTCGATGACTTTTCCTCCCTTTGGAACTTCTCTGGAAAACAGGTTCGCGGCTGGAGGTCCAAGACGAAGACTCTCCTTGATACATGCCCCGAAGTACGGGAGATGTTGCTTCATCTCATCGTAACGGATTGGCGTGGAAAGAACCCCCTTTGAGTCAGCTGCTTCAATCTCTGCTTGTGCTCGTTCTAGGACCGAAGGGTGGGTGAGCATGAACTGAAGCGTCATACCCATTGCTGTACCCGTTGTATCAGCGCCAGCTAGAATAAGCAGTGTGACATGACTAAGCTTCTGTAATGGGGTCAATGGAGAGCCATCGGAGAAGCGAGCGTCTAGGCAGCTGACTATGCTTAGTCGATTGTTCTATACCTGATCTTCGCATATGACTTACTGTTGCATAAAGTCCGGCCTCCCGTGAAATTTCTCCTCGGCAATGAGCTTCTCACGAGCAGCTATCTGCCTTTCTGCTTCGCCCATAAGCCAGCCCATTCCTGCCTCATCAGCGGTAGATGGAAGAAACAGTCTTCCCATAATAGGAAGAGGCAGCAGCTTCTCTCGGAGGAACTTGAATCTTCCCGTGAAACCGAAGATGGGAAGACCCTTGCGAAAATTTCCAATCAATCCCCTCTCATCGCGTTGGTTTTTGATGCTGCCAAAAGGCTCCGAGAACGATATCATGGCGAGAATATCAGCTGCAAACTCAGTCATCTTGTCGGACAAACATATGGTGCGTTTGGCTTCGGCATGTTCATGGAGCTTGCTGATGAAGAGTGTGACGAGTTCGTCGAAGCGCGACTCCCATGCGTTCTTCAGCGGACCAATAGTCCATGGACCATTCGACAACGCTTTTCGCAACGCGCGATGTTCTTCGCCATCTACAATCGAGACCAGGTTCGGGGGGCCTTTGATGCGCAGAGTTAATACGTGACTTATTTACGGTTCATACCTACACTAACCTAGAGCCCCGGATCGATAGACTCCACCCTTGACATTCAACTGGTTGTCTCGGTAGATGTCTTTGATCGACGACGGCCTACTGAAGAGGAGCAAATAAGGAGATATGCGAATAGGATGCTCCGCTATGGTATGTTAGACCTTTGTTACCATGTGGGATCTGCGTGTTGCCTTACTTCCGTACACTTTCTCAAGATGCGTAATCCACTCAGGTTCCTTGCGAAGAATCGAGATCATAGCACCCACTAAAGAGAATGAAGTTGCGTACCATGGCCCATGGAACTTCGCAAGGGGATGGAGCTTTTGCATGTAGAAGATACGCCATAGTATTGCTGTAAAGAGTATCCCAAGCGACAAAAGCCCAACGTTGAGCGGTTTTACAGCGAACTCCATCAACGCTAAAATAGCCATTCTTGTTGAGATGTCAAGTTCAGAAGTGCCTTCCGGTACTGATTCGGCGTTCCTGGGTTTTCTGGGAGGAGATCAAGAATCAAACGCAGCATGAATTTATAAGCTAGGTTACTCCGCAATTACCCAAAAGGCGCACCTACTGCCTACGCCTGCATAGCGTGACCTGTGGAGATGGATATCTTTCCCTCCACAAAGTGCTGATTCAGCAGTATTATTGGGATCCAAGCCTTGATGCACAGATGCATACGTTCAGCTGATAGGCCGCCTCGCGTCGTATACGGGGTCTGATATACATCAGTTTGCCAAAGCTGGGGACGGAGACTTTCCAAATAGGACAATCCATGCTATCGAGGTCCACTTCTGTTTGGCCACATCGGTGAGCAGGTTGAGCACTACGTATGACGTCGCTGATTCGCCGAAACCCATACAGGGATTATATGCAAGATATGTGGGAGGATTCCAAAGGCGCGCATCACGCCGGACTGGCCCGTAGCGTTGAGATGTATCCAAGGCGTGGTTCTATAGTTAGTGGGCGCTTAGTTAGCCAAGCCAAACATACATGCATATGTATGTTTTCAATCCTGGTGTGCGGGTATAGGATGACGGTAAATGAACGAATGAAGAGGGTGTAGTAATTTGTCCTACCGGCAAACACGTGAAGCCACTATCTTGCTGAAGGATCTCAAGGCGGAGATCTTGCCTTTTGATTGGTTATATCGCCGTGTGAATGACTGGTTGAGATATAATTTGGTATCATGTGGTGCGATGAATCGTTCGCCAAGTCTCGTTCAGGTCTGTCGGTCTCGGGAGGCGTCCCGACCTTTGGAGCCTATCAGTCTCTGAAGTCGGGCTAGTGTGGGTGTTGCGTCAAGTCTAATGCGAATTCTTGATAACAAAAGCCAGCATATTTGCCTAGCTTTCGGCCAGCCGAGCTTTCGGCTAGGAATATGCTCGGTTGTTCTTGGCTTATGCTCTTACGTGCTATGAACAACTCGAGCAGCCTTCGCAACCACTCTACATAGTCAGCTACCAGATAAGTTCATCCAGTGTTATTCACATGCTTGGATGCGCTAATGAACTTTATGAATGAAAAGATTATCAAGAATGTTCTGCTTCTCTCATATAAAGGTTTCTTTGCGGATGTTGATTTTCCAATTGCGATGCAACAAATTAGCGGACTTCTTGAAAAGAATTGGAATAGCGACAGATTGCTTTCATTTGCAAGATGCTTGACTTGCACACCACAACCACTTTTGCTCATCTTGTCCGGGTCTATTTCTTCCATCTTGGCCGGGCCACCATGATATGTTTGTGTTTAAACTAGCGCTGTATAATGATATCAATGTGAGCTTCAATGGTCTATGCAGGTCAGATGTGATGTACGAAGTAAATGTCCTACTTGCATTGAGCGTTCCGCGAAACTTGTCAAGTGAATGCATAGAAGCTGCAAACAGTTTTTTAGAGACAGGCTGCCAGACGATAAAGAACATAGTGAAAACGGTCGAGAATCCAGTTTCCCAGAATCGAGACTAGCCGTGAAACAAGTAATCTAAAGAATGGTGTCTGCTTCGGGAGGGGTGCCTCCATTGAATATCAACGCAGGAGCCGCGCAATTCGGGTACATTATCTTCATTCCACCACTATTTTAACTACAAAGTCGATTGTTTCGAACCTATATATTGGCTGGCTTAGTGACCTCTTGTTCTTTTCTGGGATTCATGATACCGTTTGGTCAAATTCAAATCAGACATGATACTATCAATCTTATTGGGATGTAGGGTACACTATGTTAGAAAAACTCGCCTCTCTTTCTCTCACCTTGACACCTACATTTTCGGTTCCGAAAAGTGGGGTTCCGGGTGAGTAGGCATATAAGCCTTCTACCCCGCAAAGGTCTATCTTGTCCTCAAAACTATCCGCCATGACCGAAATCAATCCGCTCGATGTGCTGGCCATAAAGAACGTGGTATCGCGTTACTGCCAAGCGCTGGACTCGAAAGACTTCGATATGTTGGACGAAGTGTTCGTTCCAGACGTTGACGCGAACTATCCCTTCAACAACAGCATGAAGAGCGTGAACGAAGTAAAGGCCGCTATTAAGAACCGGTACTCTCTTGAATCTCTTGGTGGTTGTGTAGTATGTCAGAATCTAACCGTCTTAGTCTCGGACCAGTCCGCACACATCATAGCCTTACAACGCAAACTATCATGTTCAGGCCTGATGCACGCACGGCGCAAGTGGAGACATATTTCCAGGGAGTGCATGTAAGTGATGCTTGAGATGCTCTCTCATAACGCTGATCTGCTGCTTTCAAAACACCTTTCACTTACAATTTCCCGTACCTAGTTTGGACAGGGTCCACATGAGGGCAAGATGCTATGCGCATACGGCAAGTATATCGATAACGTAATGCTGTTGAAAGCAGAAAACGATAATTACGAGGGTAAGCAGTTCCACCAACACAAATCGGTCTGAAGCATGGGCTTATCAATACCCGCGATCCTAGGTGTGCGAGGTGCGAGCGGAATTTGGAGAATCACGAACAGGACGGTGACCTTTACCCAAAGGATTGGTAATGAGAAAATTATGCAGGAACATTAATGTCGGTGATGGCACTGAGTCCTTTGTTTTCGATGGGAGGATCACTATCGAGGTTCTCTTGCCTTGTTGACGGCCACGTGCGTGACAACACTGCGCCTTCTCTCTGGTCCTTCCGTCTGCAAACAGCTTCTGATTACGACGCACAATACACTCTGTACCATCGTAATCGCCATCGCCAATTGCATCACGGTCATACCATCGTTTAATACAACATCACAGTCGTACTAACATCGATATCATGGTTCCTAAGGCACCCCCGCTACCATTCAAACCTGTCAGTGCGGGAAAAGCGAACTTCGTAGCGCAGAGAGCTGCCATTCGACAGAATGTGGAGATATTCAAGACCAGGAAGGATCATCACCGTAGGATTTTCAAATATCTTGTGGCGGAGCTATATGCTCGAAGTGAACGCCAGGGAGAAGATGACATCACAGAAGAGCAACATGATATTGTGGAAAGACTCAGAAACAATGCCGGCGATTTCAACTTGCTCTATGGTGGGGATAGCGACTTTGAAAATGGGAGCGATCAAATAATCGATCCCGACGACGAAGCATACCTGATATCTCAAAGAGACGAAATCATTAAGCAAGTCCTAGAACAGCTTGATCAACCTGTAATCATGCGCGACGATGTCGAAGGTTCATCTTCTCCGGATTCGATTATTCTTGAAAAGGCAAGTACTTTGGACCCAACAGAAAGTTTCGCGGCGCAATACACGAAGGACGAGATCAGTATCATACATAGTCTTGCCGATTTGACCGGTAAATCATATTATCGAGCTGAGCAGTGTTTATCCGCAGCCCACTGGGACCTGGAACTCGCTCTTAAATACCTGGATGAAGACCAACCCATTTCGAGTGCTGGAGGTTTCATACGAGATCAAAGTGGTGCTTTGACCACATCCATTCATGATAGGCCCGTGAAACACGTACCAGCGGGGTCGAGTGATGGTGCAAAAAGACGGGCTCTGGGACCGCAAGAGAGTATCAACTTGATTGCGGCACTTTGGATCAAGTTACAGCACGCCAAAGAAGCTAGACGAACTGAGGAGTTTGAACGTGATGGCATTAAGATAAGAGTAGAAGAGGTAGCCGGGGAATCCGATTCAGACTCACCACCGATAGAAATCGTATACACTGCACCCGCGAACAAGCCAGATCCCCCAAAGAAACGCAAACCCCAATCTCGAAAAGGTCTCTCTCACGCCGGCCAACCTCTATGGCTCGACGAAGCGGGAACCGTCACCTCCCGCACCGGCCTCCAAGGAACACCATACCAACAATACCTCCAAATGCGGTACTGTCTCCAACTCCAATACTATGGCTACGAAGCCATTCCCTCCGACGACCCCCACCGCGGCATACCGACAAAAGAACGATGCCCACCACCCCTCGTACAAGAAGCATCCAGCGACGATGAAGACGACGCCAGTGTACCCGAACAAGAAATATCAGGTGCCGAACTCCAGGCCATTATCGACGTCGTACTCGCCGAAGAAGCAAAGGAAGCAAGCGAAGCCGCGAAGAAAGCCAAGGCCGCGTAGCTCGCGCGTCTCGGAGCCATTGCTGAAGCTACCAAGAAGGTTTCTGGAACTGGGGATGAAGTAGACTCTGTGGTAGGCGATGAGGTAGATTCCGTAGTAAGCGACGGAGTAGACTCAGTATTTGGCGACGACTTGGAAGGGGACACGCGTGTCAATTCGCCAGTCAGCGACAACGCTGGCGACAATGAGCCCACCATTACTCCCGCACTAAGGGGTCCAGAACAGCCCAGGAAACTCTACATGAAAGTCCGATTTAACCTCGGTGGCGGTGTCGAAGTCGCGCCGGGTGAGGTGAGTGATGGGGGTGGTTCGATTGAGCAGTGCAAAGAGACGAAGCAGGCGGAACAGAAGGGGCAGGTGGAAAAGAGGAAGCAGGTACAAAAGGGATGGCAGGTGGAAGAGGTGAGGGGGTTTCTTCTGGGGCGATTGGAAGAGGCTGAGCAGGTAGAAGAAGAAGAGGAAGAGATGGGGAGGCGTGGTATGGGGCTGGAACGGGAGAGGGAAGCGGAGGAGGTGGAGAAGAGGCGGAGATTGTTTGTTTCGGATGAAGAGGATGCGTGGGATGGGATGTTTAGTGATGAGGAGTTGGAGTTGGATGACGAGGAGGAGGGGGATGAGGCGGAAGAGGAAGAAGAGGGCAAGGGGCAAGATGTTGAGGAGAAAGAGAGCAAAGAAGTAGGCGAGAAAAAGGAAGATCAGGGCAGAGTCGACGAGTTGATGGATGATTGAGCGAATTGTGTTGGAAGCATGGTTAGCGATGGTCTTGGAATATCCATTGCGTGAGTCTGGCAATTTTTTCTAGACACGAAATTAAACGGTTTCATATAAACGTACATGTTTGTCTGATGCATTGCCGTTTTGTATTCGCAGCAATCACCACGATGACGGGCTAAATCACTGGTAGCATGAATATGATCATAAAGAGGAAGCTGTATTTGCAAAAAAAAAGCACGGGTATTGACTACGTATCGGTAGTGAATCGTCAAGAAAGAATCTATACAGGATGAGACCGCGCCAGCAATGTAAGTGTGTTTCGAACAAGAGCCATATAATAAGGCTATGGTTGCGTCTCGTCTGTCTTCGTAATGTCCTCCACTTCTTCAACCTGAGAGCACATTCTTGTGTATAGTGAAATCCATTCTTACACACAAGTCGCCTCTCAACAGAACCCCTTACTCGTTGTCCATGAACTCAACCATGACACTTGCGCCCTTGAGACCAGCAGCTTCGACCGTTTCGTCCAGATGCTCGATGAGGTTCTTGCCCATGAAGGAAAGATCAAACTCGGCGCCTTGCTTGCCCTCCCAGGGTACGTCAGACTTGATCCATTCGTACACACGGCGGACAGGATCCGCGAGGTTGAACCGACGGACAATAGGTCTACCTGATGGACCTCTGAACTGAATGCGCGTGGTTACCTTTGGATCGGTAACTGTGGGCTCGGTGTGAGGTGCTTGTGCGGAAATAGCGGCAAAAGCTGGATTTGATGGAGCAGCCTCTAGCTCTGGTTCTGGCGCGGCTTCTTCGGCTTTACCCTTGCCCTTGATGTTCTCGGTCGATTTGGTGAGAGCATCTGGATCGTCCTCCTGTGGGCCTTTGCCATTCTCCAAGCTGTTTTGCAGTGCCATCTCCAACATCTCCTCCTCGGTCATACGGTTAACATCTTTTTTCTTCGATTCTGACTTTCGCTTCGCCACCGGGTTCTTTGCATTGACGTTCAAGCTGTAGCGATCGAGGAACTCGTGGAGTTGGGCGTGGAACTCAACGGCCTCGGGTATCGGCGGGCCTGACCATACCTTGACTTGTTCACCAGTTCGAGGGTCGACAATGGCGATGTGTGGGTAAGCGTCTGAGCTGTCACGCGCGTGGAAGTAGTAGTTCATGTACTGTTGTCCACGCTGGTCGTCCTTTGCGTACTGCAAGAAGATGAAGTTCTCCCGGACAGTCGCTTTGATATCTTCGTTCTTCCAGATGTCCCTATTCAAGCGCTGGCAGTCGAAGATTGCTGGGTCTTGGATGTTCACGAGGAGCCACTTCTCTTCGTCCTTGCCCATGTCGCGTGCCTTCTCCCACGAGCCCTGATACATTATTTCGAATGGTGGCCGGAATAGCTCTGCGAGCATGTTCATCTTAGAAGACTGCTCGGACGCACCTCCCGTTGCGGTCGCAAGTTCTCGTCGCCGCGTGCTCGAATCTGTGGTAGTGTCCCAGACGTTTGTGTGAGTTGTGTGTTGGTTGAAGATACCTGCGCGGCCTGAATTTGAATGAGTCAATCAATGGTAAAAGTGGTATGTGAGAAGTGCGACATACCAGTTCGGCGGCGAGCCAGCTGTTCTTGCACCAGAGCATCTATGTCCTCCTCCTCGTCGGCAGGGCCCCAATTGGAGCCAGGGCCGACGAGAGTCTCTGTTGTCCGTTGCATAGGCGCGCGAACTTCGTCGACACCAGCTCCTCCAGGTCCACCACCGCCGTACATCTCCTCTTGTAATCGCCGCGCCATGGCTTCGTCATCCTCGACACCGGGTTGGCTTCGTGCAGGCGGGTTTGCCCCCGATGGAGCAGCATCGAAGTCCATGTCATCGTCGGAATCGATGTTTATGGGATTCTGTGCAGTGGAGGCTGGGGCAGGTTGTGATGGCGCGGAGGGAGTGAAGTCAAGCCCCGGGGCATCGAAGAAGAGTTGTATGGCCTGCTCAAAGTTGCCATCTGTCAAGCGCAGATACTGCGCGGCCTTGTCAGGGTCACACGAAGTGATACTGCAGAAATTGAGCACAGATTCCTCATCCATCTTGGGCGCGTGTTTGCGTCTCGCTCGCCAGTGATTACGTTTGACGAGAAATACCGAGCGTAGGGCTGTGTGTTTGAGCGTCTGGCGCAAGGAATGAAAGGCTTTACGGGTACGGAAGGCTATTCCGGTAGAGCTATTTAGGTCTGGAGTGTGAGTTTACAAACGATGGGCTCAGGGATTCTGTGTGGCGGTTGCGATTGCGGTGCAAGTAGAACTGTGGTGGGGCAGAGTACTATGTACCTTTGAAACTTTCCGATCAACAACAACCGAACACTCTGTACCCACGCAGAGGGGTGATGATGTACAGGCCAGGTGAAGGAGAGCCTTGGGTAAGAGCGGATGCGCTGCACAAGGTGAGGTTTGCGTGTGGTGCGTGTCAATATGACTGCTGGGCGGATGGCGACAGGCACGGGCTCGGCTTGTTTGGCTGTTCTGGTACACAGAAAGCGTCGCGGGGCAAACTGTCACCGAAGGAGGCGAATTGCAGCTGGAGATGTGGTTGTCGAGGGGAATTAGAGTAGGAGACGTCGACTGTGGGAGAATCACGTCGAAGACGCGGTGCGTTTGTTCACACTGAATGCAGGCAGCGGCGAGTGCGTCATTCGGGACCCCGTGCGGCAGACCCCTGTCGCCTCACTGGTGAATGTCCGACACACGACATGTGGCAATCACCGCAAATACACTACGCCCCTCTTGGCCTCTATCCCCGTCGGGTCGTCCGTCTTTCTCGCCAGCCGACAGGACACGTCCTCCGTTTCTGCCTGTCGTCTTTGCCATATTTAGGCCTCTGGTTTGATCGCCAAAAAGCCGTTTGCATCTGCATCACCACTACCATACGCCATCCGATTTCCAACATGGCGGCAGAGCTAACTCCGGAAGCCAAAGAGCTTTCCCTAGTGGGAAAGGTCGAGATGCGCATAGCACTAGCCAGCTCAGACAAGAAACTTGAAGACTTGCTCAAGACCTATCTTCCGCCCCTGCTGTTGAAGCTGGGATCGGAGAGTGCTGCTGTGCGGAATAAGGTAAGAAGCCTGATCATGAACATGTTTTGTGACCCCTGTTGCCCTTGGTCGCCGCTGATGGCGGGTTTCCTAGGTCATTTCCATTTGCCAGCACATCAATACGCGCATCAAATCACAGTACGCATCTCTTGTTTGCCATAATTCCCGAGACTTATCAGCTGACACAATTCTACAGAGATATCAAGCTCCCAGTGAGTGCTCTTCTAAAACAGTACAAAGAACATGGACATGTCGCCCTCATTCGGCATTTCGACATCCTCTACATCCAGCAAGGGATATCACGTCTTTCTGTAGCTGAACGGCTGGAACTTCTCCCGGTATTGCTCCAAGGCATCGCCAAGGATTACGAAAAATCCGAACAGCATGCCTCTCAGCTGTTCCATCTCATCTTGCGCCTTTTGGTTCTCTTCAAATTACCTCTTCGAGGTAGTAAAGAAGACGATGAGCTGAGAGCGACCTTGGGTCTCTCCGATGATGACGCTCAATTCTTCTCCAAGTGGTTTGGAAAACTACTTTTGTTGACAATCGTTAGAACAAGCAACCCGCAAGATACCGCATCTTTAAAATGTCCCGGACTTTCTTCTGAGGAATACAAGTTTCTTACACTTCAAGGAAAGCCAGATGCTTGGGACCCTAGTGCGGATGCCGGTCTGAATCTGCCTGAATCAAAAGCCTTAGTCGCGCGACTCATGGCAAGTGGGTTGTTCAACGACGACGAAAAGTTCTTGCCGGCACTATTTGCGTCTGCTGATACCAACTCCCGGATATCTGAGGTCGGTGAGGATACTTTGAAGCGCGTCATGTTATCCAAAGATATGGAACAATCGGAACTTATAGAGAGTTTATTCGAACTCTACTTCGGATCTAGTTCAGCTGGCGGGTCGCTTCCTGTAAAGACACCGCTGCGCATCAAGATCTTAACTGTTCTCTCCAAGTCTGTGAAATGCACAACGTACCCACGACAAATAGCAAGGATTGTTGAAGAGGGCCTACTCTCACCCGAGCTGAATGCGACCAACAAAACCGCTGGAAGGGAGGCTTCGAAGTTCCGCTCAGCTATATTCTCTCTTGTCAACTTTGTTGCCCGGCGTGGAACAGTATCGGATTTATCTCAGGTTGCAGAGAGTCTTGTTGGAAATCTGAGGGCTTTCATTCAAGACCAAGGCTGGCCAACCCCAGACCGCGACCAAGATATGGAGCTTCGGGGTTACGGCTATGAAACTATTGGACTCTTGGCCAAAGCTGCGCCAGAAAAGATACTATTGGAGCCATCGCTTGATCTTCTGGAGTTTCTGTTCCGATCATTACGTGAAGATTCAGCTGGCAAAGATGTGGCGGTTAGTATAGAAGAGGCTCTTTCCTCTGTGCTTGGAGCGTTCTCTAAACCGTTTGATGCTGCAATCATGCCCAGGTTCAGACAAATACTGCTCCGATATGCCACTGTAGATCAGGAAAATACGCCAGCCTCGGACAGATTCACAAGAAGTACTCGCTATGTAGCAACACGTTTTGCAAATCGCTGCCTTCCCTATGCAGACGTCCTTGCACGGTGGATAGATATCCTTGCAGTCAGTGGGGGTCCAAACGATCGACACGAGTTGATAGAGGAAGGAAGGCGAGGCCTTGACCCCTATTGGTTTAGAATGTCCAACACTCCGCCAGGCGAACGCGAGCAGACCCAATTGGTTTTTCCAGACTTTGACAACCTGGTCAACTTCATCATTGCGCAGCAAGGGCAGGATGCCGACGCAATGGAAATCGACCCGTCAGAAGACGCTCTTGTTCAGGTTAGATACTTTCAACAAGAATTTCCAAGTGCACTCCCGACCGTCATCAGCTTCTGCTCCAGCGTTGCCATGCAATCTGCTTTGGTCGAGAAAGGTATAGATCAGGATATCCCAGAAGATTGGGAGAGAAAGCTTGATACGCAGATGACTACAGATATGCGCGCTCGGCAAGCATTTCGCGCATACGCTGCGAACGAAACCCATGCCCGCTCTTTGGCGGTGTTATTGCGCGCTAGCTTTGATAGACTCACACGAGACGATGTTAGCGACATTGGGGATATAGGCACCACGTTTGTGCGGATACTTTCCTTGCTCCCACAGCAACATTGGGTGCGAGCAAAGGTTGTTCAAGATTTCCGGGAGCTGCGACGATCTATCATATCAAACAATCCAGCACGGCGTCTTGCTGCTGCACACGCGTACGGTTTGTTAGCGTCACATGAGAGTGCTGATCAGACTGCACTACAAAGTGAACAAGTCGCCTTTTTTGAAAAGCTGAACAGTTGGAAGACAGCAATTGGTGCTGATATCAATCAAATCAGTGGCATCATCCTGGCACTCGGTTACTACTACAGTAGAAGATTCTGGAGGGAGAATGCCACATCGCCAGTCATCACGGATGATCATCCTGTTCATCAGCTGGTCCGCTCCCTGGTTGCTATCATGCAGGAGTCTCGAGATGCGACACTTAAGAATGCAGCCTTCAGTTGCATTGATCAACTTAGTCTCTTTTATGTGATCACCCCGTCACTGCTTTCTAAATACGCCAAGGTCGAAGACATCGCCCAACAGATTTATGATTCTGCTAAGACAGGTACAACCACTGCGATACTGGCACTGGGCCATTTATCCATGATCACCGAGGAAGCAGAGTCCGGCTCTGATGATGCATCCGACTACAAAGCCATACAGGATAAGCTGTACGAGCTCCATGAGGTGCGTCAACCAGAAGTTCACTTCTCGGTAGGCGAGGCCTTGAGTTGTCTCGCAAGCGGTTGGGAATCGAAGGCTTTGACTGCTGAGCTGGATGTATTAGATCCCAATCAGCCTGTAGAGCCGTGGGACGCACCTCTCAAAACGCCATCTGGACCCAAACGAGAAAAAACACTTGGAGTAGTACTGGAAAAGACCTTGAAGGGCTGCGTGCAGACGAAACCATCCCTCAAGAAAGCGTCAGTAATATGGTTGCTGTGTCTGCTCCAGTACTGTGGACATAAGCCTGAGATGCAAGGTTATCTTGGGCAATGCCAGGTCGCATTCAAAAACTGTCTCTCTGACCGCGACGAGGTTGTACAAGAGGCGGCCTCACGAGGGCTTGGCTTGGTTTATGAGAAGGGAGATCGGCAGCTGAAGGATGACCTTGTCCGCGACTTGGTCGGTTCATTTTCAGACAACAAGTCGAAGATGGCGGGTACTGTGACAGACGACACGCAGCTCTTCGAGCCTGGCGCGTTGCCCACTGGCGACGGCTCTATCACAACTTACAAGGATATCTTGAACTTGGCAGCCGAAGTCGGTGACTCGAGTTTAGTTTACCGCTTCATGTCTATGGCCTCAAACAACTCGATCTGGTCCAGTCGAGCTGCGTTTGGACGGTTTGGACTAAGCAACATTTTCTCAGACTCAAGCGTCGATGGCTACCTTGCACAAAATCCTAAACTATACCCAAAGCTCTATCGATATAGGTATGAACTGTGAAGGAAAACTATGACGAAGCGCTGCTGACTAGTATCCAGGTTCGACCCCAACACCAACGTGCAACGTTCTATGAACGACATCTGGAATGCCCTTGTCAAGGATTCTTCGGCAACCATAGACAAGCATTTTGATGCAATCATGGATGACCTTCTTATCAGCATCCTTACAAAAGAGTGGCGAGTTCGCCAGGCTTCTTGTGCGGCCATTGCCGATCTGGTACAAGGACGCAGTATTGACAAGGTGAGGATTAATATCTATTGGGGTGCCTATGCTAACAATGCTTTGTAGTACGAGAAGTACCTTGACGCCATCTGGGAAAAGACATTCAAGGTCCTGGACGATATCAAAGAAACAGTCCGTGTTGCTGCGGCGTCCCTTGCTCGTGTCCTCACTGGAATTTTGACACGCTCTTTGGAAGCCGGAGATTCATCATTGAAGTCTGCAACGGTTCAGCTTGAACGCGTGATACCTTTCCTCTTTTCAAATTCCGGCCTGGAGTCGTCAGCTGAAGAAGTCCGTCTCTTCTCCGTACACACTCTGCTTCAAATTGTGAAGAAGAGTAACGCAAAGACACTTAATCCACATGTGCCTGAACTAGTTGAGCGCCTACTCGGCTTGCTCAGCAGTCTGGAACCAGAAGCAGTCAACTACGTCCATCTCAACGCCAGCAAATACAACCTTACAGAACAAAAGATTGACGACATGCGCCTCGCCAGCGTGCGCCAGTCGCCATTGACGGAGTCTGTAGAGCGCTGTCTCGACCTCGCAGATGCAGACACCATGGCCGCACTGGTCCCACGCATCGAAGCCGCGATGAAGAACGCAGTCGGTCTTCCATCAAAAGTAGGATGCTCGCGCGTACTCGTCACGCTCGCTACCCGTCATCGCTTCCTCTTCAACCCCTACGCCGACGGCTTCCTCAAGCTAATCCAGAAGCAAATCCATGACCGCAACGAAACAGTCAGCTCCTCCTACGCCGCAGCAGCAGGCTACCTCGCACGCCTAGCATCCGACAAGCAAATCCTCTCCACATTCGCCTTCGTCAACAAACTCTACTTCGAGTCCGAAGAAAACAGCGACAGAAACCGTTTATTAGCCGCAGACATAATGCGCGCCATAAGCTCCCACGCAACCGACCGCTTCAACTCTTTCGCCGCAGACTTCCTGCCCTTCATCTTCCTCGCCAAACACGACTCGGAAGAAACAATCTGCAAGAGCTTCGGCGAAACATGGGATGATCATGTCGCTGGACCCCGCGCTGTGGCTTTGTATCTTAAAGAAATCCTTGCACTTTCCGATACGCATCTTGAAAGTAGGCAGTGGGCCATTAAGCATACAGCTGCCAAGACGGTCGCGGATTGCGTGCTGCAGATTACGAATGCGGTGGGTAGTGAGAAGATTGATGCTGCGACTGCGAAGACGATATGGCCTGTGCTTGATAAGGCGCTTAGCGGGAAGAGTTGGGATGGCAAGGAGGTCGTGCTTGAGGCTTTTGTGCGATTTGTAGAGCGATCTGAGGCGTACTGGATGGATGGTGCGAATAAGGATGTTGCGAAGCAGCTCGAGAAAGTGGCGACACGGGAGAGTAAGAGACAGGAAGGAAAGAATGAGAAGGTTGTTGCGGGGGTTTTGGAGAAGCTTAGAGCGCATTTGGGGGTTCAGTAGCGTGTTACTCATTCACTGTTGTAAACACCCTCTTCTCTGTTTCTAGAAATACAATCGACTTTGGATACTTTGAGGGGGCTTTTTCGTTTAAGCCCCCTTATCCTGCTCCAACGCTTTCTCCAACGCCCGATCCGCACTCACTTCCTTCTCAGCCCCTTCAATCACGCCTCTCAACCCCTTCGCGCACGCCTCGAGCTGTGCTTGCTCCGATGCATCCAGCTGGATCGGCATTGCCCGTATAATACCTTTTCTACCGATAACGGCCGGCATGCTTAGACAGCAGCCTAGCTCTGGCTGGTAGAACGACAGTGGGCGCACGGAACGGGAGTCGAAGAGGATGTATTTGCAGATGCTAGCGGCGATATTGCCGATGCCGAAGGCGGTGCAGCCTTTTGCGGCGATGATGGCTCCCGCCGCACCGCGTGTGTGGGCTGAGATGCTGGCTTTGAAGTCTTCTGTTAGGGTTGAAGGGGGGAGCGCGAGGGAGAGAGGTGTTGTGCCGATTGTGGCGGAGGACCAGGCGATCTGTTGGATGTTAGTAATTCATTTTATACCCCAGCAACTTTTTTTTTCGCTTCTAAACATCTATGTTCCAATTCCGTAAATGGGTAGGAGCTAGGATAGTGATGACCGAGTAGACTCTTCCCCCTTTGCCAGTAGTGAAGATGAGGGAAAAGAAAAAAAGAACTCACAAACTGACTATCCCCATGTTCCCCCAAAACATACGCATCAATACTATTCGGTGCAACCTCCGCCTTCTCCGCCAACACGCCCCTCAACCTCGCCGAATCCAAACTCGTCCCCGTCCCCAACACCTGGCTCTCAGGCAACCCACTCATCTTCCTCGCAAAATACGTCAATATATCCACGGGATTCGCCACAAGCAGCAGAATCGTATGCGGATTCATTGGCGCCATAGCACCGAATATACTCTCAAGAATGTGCAAGTTGCGACTGAGGAGTGAGAGGCGCGATTCACCGGGCTTCTGCTTGGCGCCAGCGGTAATGACGACAATGTCTGCTTGCCCGGCTTCGGCATGCGTGGCAGCGCGGACGCGGACACCGCTGCCGCCGCGGTAGGTGGCGTCGGAGAGGTCACGGACTTGAGCTTCGAGGAGGGAGTGCTTGAGGTCTACGAGGAGGAATTCGGAGCAGATGGGTTGCAGGATGAGGGTGTAGGCGAGGGTGGAGCCTACGTCGCCGCAGCCGAGGATGGCGATTGTGGTTTTGAGTTTGGGTTGGGTCATTGTTTTGTTTTTTCTTCTCTTTAGATGCTGGGTTGTTGTTGATGATGGCGGTGGTGGTGATGCTCTTTATTATTTTAATGAACTAGGATTTAGCAAGAGCTTTGTAGTGGTTGTGGGAAAAAGCAAATAGGTATTGTTTTTCTAGCCGTAGAATCTGATGAAAAGGACATAAGTAAGGAGAGCAAGTGAGACTATTTGAATGTTATATACACTTTCCGTAGGCAGGCCCGTGTAGTCGTCCGTTGTCCTATGTTGCCAAGAGCTAGGCCTGCGAAATGTGGCGTGATGCCGCCCTGCAGATGGCAGGCTCAACCACTTAACATGCGCTTCGTCACACTGTATTAGTTGACCAACTGTATTGTATGACAAACCTCTTGGCCAATCAAAAACGTGTGCAGGTATTTCATTTACCGCAGATCTACCGCGACAGTACTTTAGTAGTGGCACTACTAGTAGCAGATTGTTGCAAGGACTACTACATATATTTCATCCCTCAATATAACGCCTCTTAACGGGAACACCCGAACCCCACATTAGTAAATCCCTTTCGCTCACCTAGCTCTACGTAGCGACTGGTATTAATCACATGATCTAGCCCTCGCCAGGGAATGAGGATCTTAGTATCTTTGGTAGCCTTGATTTGACAGATGACAGGAGTTTATAATTGGAGCTAGTTAAAGTGAATTACAATGGAGTTATTTGTCAAGGAGACAGCGAAGATACAGGGATGAACTCGGGTCCGCATAAAACCCAAGTAAACGACTCCTGGGAAATCACATGGAAGCTGGATAAAGAAAAGAAAATAAATCCCTTCCTCGTGCCCTCCCAACCAGATTGCCCAATACTTTTTGCACTCATACATGCACAAGATGATAGCGGCAGCGACCTTAGCAAATTCCTCATCCCGGTCCTACACTGCTGCACTCCTAGAAAGCAAGTTTGACCCCTTCAAACCAGGGGTGTTCCAACGCCTGACGAGCGGTAAGTCGCCGTGAGGGGTCCAGATTATTCAATCCTCGGATCAAGTCCTTGAATGTCGAATCAACACCCGTCCACTCTGAAAACGGCACATATGGGTGGTTGTCTGCCATTCGGGCTTTCCAATGCATCCCAAGAATCTCGCGCTTGGTCTCCTCATCGCTAAAATGCTTCATAAGGCCATTCAATCCTTCTTGATCCCCAAAATATGTGATCTGACGCGGCAGACGGATGCATATAGGCGGTATGCCTTTTGATTCATGGAACTCGAAATCGGCATCGCAGCCTAGTATGATGCGCCCTAAGATAGCATAGATGCACTTGGTACGTTAGTAGTCAAATTGTCTTACTCATATTGGCACTTACCACCAGTCCGAATGAGAACAGGTCAGTTGGCTTGTTGAGCGTTCCCCTAAAGTTGGCCTCAGGGCTGCGCCAGTTGTTATTCCCGGCCAACATCCCTTTAACGCACCTAGGCTTCGGGATATAGCCCGCATTCTCAAAATCATTGACCTGCACCTTCTTGACCAAGATATCATGGTCAATACTACGGTAGCTGACCAAGAAGTTATCGGGTTTAACATCTAAAGTGAATTAGCCATTCACGTTGACATTAAGGAGAGCTGGACTGCTAGGCTTACCTAAATGGACAATGTCGCGGTCGTGCAAATCCGCAATACCTTGCAAGATGGCTTTGAGGATTTCTTTTCGAGCTTGCATGGATACCTGACTTTGAACAAGATTTAAAAGGTCTTGATCCAGGTATTCGTAAACGAGTATGGGTCGATCTGGTATGGTATCTACTGGCAGTCGCACACGGGGAGTGAGAGGAAGCCTTGGTCGAATGTCCTCGTTGAAGCCTAAAACAATGTTTTTAGGTATGTCTTTCAGGATGAAGTTCTCATTTCTAGACCTTTAGAAGTGTTAGTTATGAGAGGAAAAACAGTATGGGAGGTGATTCGAACGATGCTAGCCAAACGCGACCAACATGTGGTCTTTCCTGGATCAGCTTTTTGAATATGTAAGAGCGCCCAGTTGAGCCGACCAAGTCGAGCGAACTCAAGGCTGCCATTGCGATGTATGCTTCGTATATTTTTTACTGACCGTAGATGAAAGAGGGGATAGCCAATGGAAAAGGCCAATTGGCTGACCAAGAGGGTGGGTCTTGGCGTCACGTGTGGGCATATCCTACCCAGGCGTTTGTAGACCGTCAATGTGACTGTAGACCGCCAGCGTAACATTCACTATGATGTGAGTCATGATCTTATTTTTACGGAACAATTTACTTATGATGCGTCTCTGTAGGGAGACTTTGCATTCAAGTCGCATGGATGCCAGGAAACACTATACTGTGCTTCAGCTAGACACGCAAGACAATGTTCTTGGCACATATCATTATTACCCAAAAGATTGTCCCGCTGTGTAAGCGCGAAAGATGGTTGTCTTAGGGCTTAGCATTGCTTAGACGTCAGGATTGTGAATGCTGGTGTGCCGGTGCACAGGGTCGCCAGTGGCTTCTGTGCAAATACTTCTATCTGACCTGATGGGTATAAGATGGGAGCTTTTGTGTACGATGAATCTAAATAATAATATCCAAGCATATTCATGTCCTCGTTGCTTTCAGTCCTATCCTCCCTAGCATCCCATCGTTGGCGGGTGGCCAAGTCACGTAATCAGCGCTCCGCGATATTCATTACTTTCTGGGTGGATATCTGTAGGTCCTCAGCCCTCCATCCTTCATCAAGGAGAGAATTCTTCTCGTTACTCGTAACACAGGGACCTCAGACCACACTACACCCTACTTGGGTTGGACGTGAAAGACAACTCAGAAAGGCATCCAGCTGATGAACCTACTAGGCCATTCGTTTGATAACCAATTATCTAAATGATGAACATAATACGTACATGTCGGTTTTTCCAGGAAACGTGCAATCATTAGGCCCTCTTCATTGCTTCAAGTTTATGCTACTATCACTAAAGGGAAGATATGAATTTTGGTCGGTTTAGTACAGTTGGCAGCCTTTGGGAGGATCTTTTGTAGGAAGCTAAACGGGGCTAGGTTTCCTATGGCTTTAGGTTCTTATATCGAAATGATAACATGGGATTGGTATGGCTGTGGCTGGGCTTCTTACATGCTATTCTTAACGTGCTTTTTGCAGATACCCCGGTATTAGTATAGACAACAAAAGGCTACATTCAACAACTGAAAAACCTTTGTCTCGTTTTTCTTGCCATCAAGTTAAATAGAACTCGTTTCGCTTGCGGCGAGGTTCAATAATGCGGCCCTTTGTCTTAAGCCTTCACAGCGTCATTCACATTTAGATTACCTTATGAGGAAGGAATGCAGTGCTTATATTGCAGATTTCATGCTACATTAACAACCCCTTCTCCGAAGCACTGAATTACTGCGTTCATAAGTCAGATCATCGATAGATAAAAGAAGCGCCTCCAGCGTGATCTGAAACATTCGCAATTGCACAGTTGGACAAGTCATATACAAAACGATGGCTATTTCAAAGACGGTCAGAAATCCCTTCACAAAGCATGACAGCTGTGTGAAGCGAAATACGCATAACACCAAATGGGTAGCTGATAGGGATAAAGTGATGAGAAAGCAAGCAGATTCCAAAGGTTGTTTGGGAAAGCTTTCAAGATCATCTTCAAATCGCAGCGACCAAAAATCGTTTCATTCTGGTGATCTACAAGCTCTTCCTCTTCGTCTGAGGAAGCTCCAAAGTGGAAGTGGAGAGACAGAAGTATCTGGTAGCTCTATGCCATGCTATCGTTCTGAAAAGAACATATTTAATTCTGGGCTAGAAGGCGAAGCCCAAGAGGTGTGGACAACATGGAAAACGTATGAAAAAGCACATAGTGAGCAAATTCTTGTTCACTCACCTGATCAGGACGTATCAAACTTCTATACAATGTCTCATAAATCCCATCGTCCACGACATTCCCATCGGCATGCCGTGGTTTTCCCGGTATCCCTACAAGAAACAGCTCACATGCAGCATGAGAAAGATAAAAGGGAGACTACAAATACGTATACAAGAAGAGACTCCGGAGTCGCGCAGTCCTGCGCTAAATTACCGATGTTCACTGAAAAATGTACGAATCGAGCTGCTATTATGAACAAGCCTCTACCCCCAGTACCGCGTATCAAGCCAGCACCAAAGTCAGTCCGAATGACAGGACTCCCTCCTTCACCTCACCCAATCACACAGCCCAAAAATAAAAAAACATCGTTGACGAAACCCCAGTCCAAAACTGAACCAAATCCTCCACGGTGGAAGGAATCTCGCTTGACAGCCCCCCAAACAACCCTAAAGTCCAAAATTTCATTCCGAGGCCTACTCACAGCTTCCAAAAACGGCTCAGTTGCGAACAATGCTGCAAAGCGCGGCAGTATTATTAGCTCTGCAGATGCTGCTTCCCTCTCAATTAAGCACACTGGCCCCCTTCTCCCTAGATATTCCTCTGAACCCATATCTATTGCAAAGAACACACTAGAGAAAATACCACCATTACCTTTTTACGCTCCAGCGTATGGTCTCGCACATCAAGACAACGCCGCGGATACGAAGCCAAAAAGGAGGGCTGTGGCAGTACGTGATCATACACCCCCAACACACTGGCGGGATGCTTTTGTAGAATCAGCATTTGAAGCTAGCAAGTTCATTAAACAGAGTGCGATAGAGAAGCTCGATGAAGTTATACATGCAACTCGGAGAAGGAAGAGCTCGGATGTTAGCTTTATGTGTCAGGGTGTAGAGAAAGGAGGACTTGACGTGTCGGACTAGTGCGAAAAAAAATACAGCATCCTTGTTGCCTAGCTGTGTACTTTTATCCAAAAATCTATTGAGTCTCATAACCCTGGTTATAGGTGGCCGTAAATTCAAGGTCGCGACTAACCACTATGGAAAACTCAGACTGCCACCTTTTGCTTCGCACAAAATCAAACCCGAGAGCGGGACCTCCGAACTGCTTATAATGAGAGATTGATACTTGGGCAAATTGCCCAATCAGTGTGCGAATCTGAAATCCAACCTCTTCATACCCTCGTCTTTTGTCGTCAACAAATAATTCTGCTGGTCCTCCTTTGTCATCGCATTCCATCTCCTGTCTCTGGCTTTGTTCCTCCAGATGTAGAATGCCTTCACCAGGTAGAATAACACGATATTGAAGGAGCAAATCGCAAGCAAAATCTTGTTGCCGCGTCGATATAGAGGCTTGTCGTCGTCGCGGTAGATGTTCGTGGAGATGATGTTTCCTGATTGGACAAACATGTTGTAAAGAGCAGCGGAAATGGCACGCGTTCGAACTGCATTGCTGTTCTTAGCGTTCCAGCCCACAAGGATAGCGTGGCAATATGGATAGCTTAGGAGTCCAGTGAGCAGTGCGTATCGAATCCAAGGATTGGCGCTTGCAGGCAGAGTTACTAGACCAACCAGCCACGGGAAAATCCAGATATTACTAAGACTGCTGATAATCGCTCGCTCCTTTACTCTCTCAGAAAGCCAAGTAAGAATGAGGAGTTGCACGGCAAACAGGAATTGCGACGGAATCGTGAGTAAGTTGGCTTTGAAGACGGAAAAGCCGAGCTGTCGCAGGATATAAGATAGATATGTGCTTGGCGGAGCAGGAGGAATGTATGCCGTCAGACCAATAATGTAGAGTGGCCACTGTTCCCAGTCGAAGCAGGACTTCAGAAGATGGCTCAAGCCAACGGCTTGACGGTTGTTCATGTCACCTTTGGAAGGGCTACTAGAGTCAGCACGGTAGCAAAGGTACATGTTATGCCACTTACTCGTCACGGAGGACTCTGTTGACAAGGATATATTCCTCGTGCTCAGTGAACCATCCGTTCTTGCCTCGGAACCAGTTCTTCGTCTGAGTCGGGCCAGGAGGCATCAACCCCCACGAAAAAATACCGATGGTGCAAGTGATGACACCCTCGATGAGGAACCTAAAAGATCACTCAGCGTCGGCCCTCGCAATTAGATCTAGTAACATACAAATACTGCCATCCTGACCAGCCGTTGATTCCCCTCATTTGCAGGACACCAGCTGCAATCAATGATCCAGCAATTTGGCAAGTACTGAGGGCAGTCCAGAAGAAAGCCAGGCGCTTTGGCAGCTCGTTAGATTTCTAGGATAACGTTAGAACAAGTCTTTCAAATGATTCTAACCGCAAACGTACGAAGTAGTAGGTGAGCCAAAGAACTATGTCACTGGTAACGTTAGCAAAATGAAGCAATGGGTCTGCTGTCTATACGAACGGGATAAAACCACCCATAAAGAGCCCGAGCAGGGCACGGATCACATAGTATGCTGCTTTTGACTTCATTGCCGCCTGAGATGCGCTGACGATTGACCACGCGCAAATGATGAAGGGAATCCATCGATCGGCACCGAGTGCCTTACTAATGAGGCCACTCGGAAGCTCCGCTGCAAGGAAAGAAGCGAGGAATATCTATGTAGCATTAGAATATACTATCCAATAGATGAAAAGTGTGCTAAATACCGTTTGTCCATAATTGAAGTCATTTGTGTTCATGTCTGGAACAGTGTAAGTTACTTGCGCTGTGTTTCTCGTATTCTCTCACTTACTCAACTCTTCCAACTACAAGCACGATTAGCTAAATGACCATAGTTGGCTGAGGAGAAAGAAAACTTACCATATTGTCTGAAATAGCGCGATTGATGTTTTTCCTGTTCAGGTCCAATGCGCAAAACATCAGCCAAGCCCAAAACGTGATCCTGAGATCGAGCTGCCAAGCCGTCAGCGTTATGTTTCCTGACTCTCATGAGTTGTCCTCGCTTACTCTGCGAACGAGGCGCTTCTCCTCTTCAGCCGTCCATTTGTAGTTTGGATCAAATCGGTGTCGGTTCTCATATCCGTTTCGCTCGTAGACCTCTCGCCAATACTCTGCAACAACGGGATCACTGAAGACATGGTTGTCGCCATTGTCTCCGTAGAACTGCTCATTGTCCCTGGAATCCGCATCTGAAGATCCCGAATCCGCGTGTTTGGGTACGGGTACCTGCTTCTTGCCGTCACCTAGTTCCGCCATCATGCCCGTTGGCTAAGAAAAAGTAACCACAAAGAGATGCAGCTGAATACAATTGACAAACAGAAATCAGGGTTCTGAGACGCACATCTGATGTCTCCGAACATCTCCGGGGCATTGTATTTAACCTACTTGAAAACATTTCTTCTCAAGACGCCGCCACGATGTCGCAACATCAACAGGAATTGACACCATGTTCGAGCGATCCAGACGCATCACTTTGCCGAAGCTACAATCGGCCAAGGAGCGCCGGAAAAGTGTACCCAAGTGACATAAGAAGGCTGTGATTGGGCATCGTCGCTCTTATCTATGAATCCACTGCTCTCAAAACTGAGATCTGCCGTTCAATGACAGTCATGGCGTCACGCACGGCTCGGCGGCAGTCTGGCAGCTCGAGAGACGCCGGTGCTATGGGGTCGGTGGCTTCAAAGCCGAACTAAACCCTCCATATGTATACCCTACACTGTAACCACAACGCTCTGCTAGCCACTCAAAGTAACCTCCCGAGATAGCGCAATGCAGGACCACAATTGTGGGATGCGAGATGGAAATATTTTCCTGGATGGGCTTGATTAGAGTCTCCATTAGTTGCTGGAGCGCGGCGTTATTGATGGGGGTGTGGTGTTCACGTCAATTTCTCAAGAATGGCGTCAGGAAACCCCATGCGCGCCAAGGCCAACGCGCATTCCCGTGCACAGGGGACCAACCCCACAACACAACGCGAGGAGCGAGTGCCAGCTTCACTGTTCGTATTTTCGAAACTTTGGTTGAGATTCTCTTGTGCATATATCTGGGGATCATGATTGGTGGATCGTAGTACCGGTATCCAGGTAGCTGACACAAAAAGCACGTGGCGGTCATATGCACGCTGAGATCTTACAGTATAGATTGCAATAGATGCCATGGATATCTTACTTGGCAACGGCATTTCTATTTATCTCCGGGATGATCGGTGGATACCTTTGACGAAAACGAAAGCATCCTCTTTTCCGAACGCACGGTACTCCTCGCGTATACATATATATATATCTGCAAGCAAGCCCACAATGAGAGACATTATCAACTGGAGCTGTATTCTTTCCGCTTCTTCATTTTGACAACGTCGTTTAGAGTTCTTCTCTTCCTAATGTACGTTCAATCATGTACGTTGAAGAAGAGTAAGACAATGTCCACATGGGAATATACATTTCCGAGCCAGCCGATGTTTCGTTCTCCGTACGCCGTAATAGTCAGATAAAAACGGTCTTTACTATCAAACGCAACTCATAAAGAGCACCAAAAATCCCATCCCTATTCAGATAGCACATGCTGGCAATGACGATCACGTCATTCTATACAAGAATGAGGTGTTGAAACCTCTTGTATGCTTTTCAATGCCATTCGTCGTGATTAGCTATGATTCAAACAAATATTATGAGAACTGGCTATTTTCGGCAATGATAACGTATTGAGGGTCTCAAAACAGTACAATGATGGCTCTGATGGAGCTGCTGAGCAGTTGTGCTAAGCATAGGATATCCGCTAAGGCGCTATGCCTCATCAGTGGGGCACGTGACGGTACCATAACGCAACGCAACTGACTCGCTGGGGGGAGATATTTGCTTAGCATATAACTTCATTTTTTTGGATACAATAGTGTTTCAGACTTTTTGGTAAACGCGTAGACATTTGACAGATACGTATATCAGGTCTGTTTAGGGTTGAAGCACTGCACTGCTCGCTCAAAGAATATATGCGCTATATGATGAGTGTTGATACTACCATGGAAGAAATCAATCTCAATACTCTGCTATATTGTTACATTCCTAGGGTATATATTGTGGCACGAGACGTGATCGAGCTCGAAAAATCAGAGGGAGGACCCGCATTTGAGTAGATAGAATAACGCTAATACTTGATCGCTGCAAAGAATTAATTGAAGAAGGTGCCTATCTACGTACAAAAGGAAATCGCAATATATATCTGCAATATAATCACGTGATACTAGACCGCAATATAGATGTTACTTGATGTTCAGCTACCAGCCCAGAAGTGCACGGTACAGGGACGGAGTAAAGGTTCTAGTGAAACAATGTTAACATCTAACTTAATCAATAGTCTTCGATGACCTGTTATCTAAAACTGACTAAGCATTAGCAGAGTCCTTCAATTCTTAGAGATATCTTCTGGTGAGTACAAAAAAGGTGATCGCTAAACTGCATGTCTACAAAGAAAGCACATCGTGTTCCTTTGACGAAATAAAAAACACTTCTCAATAGTGATCATATTGCTTCAAAATTGAAAACAGGAGGAAAGCCGACAAAACACTGATAAGTCTTTGTATTATCAAGTATATCTAATCCTCCAAAACCACCTCAAGATGACTCCCCCCAACAGCCATCCCTGTTCATGTATCAACATAGCAACCCCCTAGTCTCCAGCCACCTCAGAATCCAATTTTTTTCAGTTCATCTCCCCAAACCCTGGCAAACAGGCGGATACTGCGTTCCAGCCGGAAAAGTGTTCGCACAATGAGCCAGCCTGCAATTCGCAATGCATGGCTCCGACCAGCAGTTCTTGTAGCAGCCACAGTATTCTGCCCTGCAACCCATAGCCCTGTTTTGTAGTCTGACGCCCCTTGGTTCTTGTTGGAGGTGTTGTGAAGCTCGTTCGTGCGCGGTGGGAGCGGTGGAGGCGAGACCCGCTAGAGTGAAGGTGAGGGAAAGGGCGAGGAAGCGCATTTTGAAAGATAGATAGATAGAAAGAAAGAGAGGATTTGGTTGGAGTTGGTGGTGATGGTTGAATAGAGAAGGGATTTGGGGGAGAGAATTGGGGGGGTTCTTATAGGGTGGGAAGCTGGGTAAGTGTACCTCATATGTTCTATCTAACTTTAAGATCGGGCCTTCTGCTATAGTTCGTGTTGACGCGTGGTTTTCTCCTTGGCTGAACTTTAGCATCTATAACTCGAGTAATGTGTATCTATGGGTGTTAGCATTCACGGTGTAAGTATGCGCTGTTGGATAGGCGGAGGCTAGGTAGAGACTTGAGACTCTCCATCTCAGGGGTTTCTCGAGCATTTCTACAGATCTACGAGTTGTGGAATCGGTTGATGTTGATTTAGGATGATATGAAGAAACCATGTTTCTACTGCGGTCCAGGGGTCAAGTTCTGTGCAGTGGGGACGCTAAGCGCGCCGATCCGGTGTAATCTTTGAGTAATGTTTACTTAATTAGACACAGCACAATCTCTCTTATTTTTAAACCGCGAATCAAGGAGGTAAGAAGACTAAAGCTCGATGAGTAAGTAGTGTTTTTTGTCTAATGATAAATTAGTTTATATCTCTATCTAGAAGTAAATTAGCTTAATACAACCCTTATTGGTGCTTATGAACAAACCCTTGGCCATGTACTACAGTACATTACTCGATGGTGATAAGACCAGGTTTACATAAAACGTAAAATGCTCTTATAGGAGGCTGAACATCCCTTAGGTAGCTCCATGGGAGTACGTCGAATCTATCATAGAATCTAGGTGTCGATTCTACTCACTGATGCAAGAAGACTCATAATAGAACAGCAGCAAGAGTTTGAGTTGGACCCATCTACGTAAATCTGAAAACCCAAGATGCCTATTATAATAGCTATGCTGGTCACAAGATTCAGATCCTCTTGGTTGGAACAGGCATGATTCAAACCATGCCGGCGTTGCTCGGAAAAACCTCGTATAGTTGGTCCACTTTTCATACATGTGTCCTGGTATACATGGGTAAGTTCCGTTCAAGTTTTTTGTGGTATCTGTCAGCCCGAGCTATCCGTCAAAGCTAATCTAGTTTTGGATATAGTAATCTCTTAATTGTGCCTACTAGGCTCTACTCCTTTCCTCACATATTCTCACAAGTATAGGGAGGTGATATGAAGCTATAATTGCGGTAGAGGATGGTCTATACTAACAATCGATCTATCCTATCTTTGGATAGCTGGATACACTCCTGCCTAGCTCAAAAAAAATCGAACTAACGAAACTTACCCATGTATACCAGTACTGCGTTATTGTAGGTAGCACTGGGAGTCTGCGCTGTTTTACGAGCAAAAAACCCGACGATGACGCGTTCAGACGTTGTCAGTATGCACTTTTCTTGGTATCAAGTGGTTAAACAGGGTTAAACAGCTGCACACAGAGTTGTAAAATTCTAATGCAGTCCACTTTCAAGTATACTAAAGTAATAAATTTCCTGTCTTGCACCTACTTTCTTTTCTTCAACCGAACATGCTTACATACTAATGTTTGACAAAAGGGAGTTGCATTGAGCGTATAAGGAGAGCTCTTGGCTCCTCTAAATTCCTCGGCTGCCAATGCCGCTGGGCGAATCAGAGATATTGAAGTAGCTATCACGTGATGTGGCACTAACCAAAAGAATATAATTTGTTTGAAACGGCATGTTATAGAGTGACGATCAGGCACACAATGCGGTATCCGAATATATACCCTAGGAAGGTCAGGCATGTACTTACTCAGGGCGCTCGGAAGGCACGGGGAACTACTTGTAGTTAGGACTTGTAATTAGTAAGCTACGTGATTTACACGGTTCGGTTAGGAGCTTTGCAGCCGCATGACGACATGTTTCCGTTGATGGTAGCTATTGCTTCAACTGAGTGTGATGAGTACTCTCTTATCACAAGCGAAAAACCTGTCGTTCTTGAGAAAATGCGCAAAATACCTGGACGAAACATGTCTTACCCAAATCATTCACAGAAAGTAATAGAACGGGCACTTGTCTCCACACCGACTTTACGGAATGGGCTATTGCCAAGTTGTCAATGTTGGCATGTATGGGTCTCGGTTCTTGGTCGTTTTCCTTGTCCCCCATATCTTACATTATATCACTGCCCAAGCATCCGTTGGGCTCATCTCTACCATCTCCTCCAGCTTTCTTGCCACCACGCATAACATTTTTTCTAAATGTGAGGTAATGACGACGGCTGAATGCACGATTGAAGTGTGTTGATAAGATTTGTGAAGGTGGCTTTGTTCGTGCACGTGACTTTCGCCAAGACCATTTGTTCTTCTTGTCAAGCGATTAAGTCCGGGCTGGTTCTCTGGCCAATTTTCTATCGCACGAAGAATAGAAGAGTGCTGTTGCGGATTCTGATTTTGAGTGTAAGTAGAGAAACACTTACCAAAGGCAATACGCGCTACAATATGGCGTAACTCGAGAGCGACGCTGACCATGCAATAGTGCAACAACGGCCAACGGGTATTATAGCAGACCTGGTCTTCTCTCAGGAAGCATCATCTCTTTTGCGCAAAAGCTACTAAATTCCACATCGATGCATGGGTTGCTAATTATAAAAGCGACTTTGCGACGGGTCGTCACTGGCAAAATGTTTGTTGGTTTTGCATCAAGGATCGTACGATGCCACGATTTTTCAGGCAGCCAGAAGACCAAGGAAAACCATATATCGGACCAAGAATATATACGTCTTCCTGCATAATCAATATCGAAGGGGCAAGGAACAAGGAAGATTCAGACGAGCAAATATCCAGAGTCGAGGAAGCGAGGCTAAAAGAGGGTAAATTTGTTTCGAAACGGGCTGCATGGCCGTGCCAACTGGGGGATCCGCGCTGCATGCAGAGAGAACGGCTGGCCCCAGTGCTGGTTAATTATGGGATTTGGGATTCGACAAAGTGTGCGCAAAGAGATATATTTAGGTGAGATTAGCACATCGACTAGAAGTAGCGCACACGACCATGCCATAGCTGGGCCATCAGCGTGCTGGTGCTACCCCACGATGCAGCCAGCAGCGGGGGGCCAACAGTAAGCCTGCAGTCAGTGAGCAAAGAAACGAAACAAAACTACCGCAAGACAGCTAGTGCGCGGACGACATGCAGATGGAAAGCGTTTTGCGGGAAGGTGGCGAAGCGGCTCGGGGACTCAGCAGCAGAGGGTGCAGGAAACATGTTTGTAGGTCGAGGGCACATGTAAGGCCAGGCCTGGGGAGCCAGGATGCCGCAGCGCTCACATGACTTGGCAGCGGCATTGATGAGGCGAGGCCTAGGTGTAGTAAGTAGAACCAGGGCGCAAAGAGGGTGAGTGGAGCTGGGGTGCTGATGGACTGCGTACGTATGCACTGGGGCAGTTTGGAGCTTTATGTCGGACGAGCTGCGGGCGCGCGAGGAGTGACTGGAGTCAGCGAGTCGAGGGCTGGTGAGGCAGCGAGCGGTGATGGAGCGGTGCTGTCAGGGCTGAGGGTGGTTGTGTGTAGACTGGATGGAGTGGATGGACTCGAGAGCATCAGCGGCAGTGAATTGGATTCAGCCGAGAGGGCCGCTAACGCAGTGGGACGGCGCTTGCAAACCTAAACGGGGTTAGCCCGCTTTTTTCTCATGCGTCGGCCAGCCACTCAGCTGCTGCAACCGCCATGTTACATTTTGCCCATTTTGCGGGCGTCAAATGTCTACCAGTAATTGGGCATCAGCCATTTCTATGCCCTGTCTCGCTGCACCAGAATCCTGGGCACAAGGCGCTCCCGACGACACGCCCCCGCCGCCCGCCGTCCCATGGCTGTTTCCTCGGTGTTTCCTCGACTTGGGCCATGCTCTCTTAACGTCTGACGGCGCTCCAGACGCCAGAGGTACATTCACCCACCATCTCAACCTCTGACCCATCTTACGTCGGCAAAAGAAAAGAGAAACTGAGACACAGACAGAGCGCAATCTAGAGCGACAGCGCTGCATATTGCCACGCTGACCGACAGGATAAGCACAAAACATCGCAGTCACATCTGCCCATAAACCAAGCTTCTGGCCGCATCATCTGTACATCCTCTATCGACTTCTCCCGGGCGTCTATTTCGGGCAACCACTCGCCTCGTTCCTCTGCGCGCCATTGGCATCCACCTCGTCTCCCCAGCCGGCCTATCATACGCACACCTGCAGTCGTGCCAGCTGCCTGCCTCTAGCCGCTATACATTTAGAACGTTGTAAGTACCCGCCCGCTTTGCCATCTTCTCTCTCCCCACCTGCTACTATCCGTGCTCCCCACCTGTCCAATCCTCGCCCGTTGCCGCCTTCCAAGCGCCCCGACAACAAAAGCCCAGCGCTTCGCCCTCTTGCCACACCTTTTCCTTTTCTCCAGCAGGTCTCTTATTGTAATTCGTCGTGTTTCTTCTATCAACCGTCTCTTGTAGCCTTTCTCGCGACTGGTCTTAGCTGGGCTGGATTATAGTCGTCGACGTTGTGGCACTGTTCTCTCTCTACTTCTCTTGCCCCCACTTGATGCCATTCCCCATTGCCCTCGAGTAAAACTCGCACATCCTTAGTATGGCCGCCAACGACAAGAAGCTTACCCATATCACCATTGAAAGACGAAGCTCCAAAGACTCTCTCGACGTCAGGACACCACGTGCAGCCCGCTTCGCAGAGGCAACCTCAGTTCACTCGCCTATTGATCCTCCTCGGTCACCAGTCGAGTACCCAACAAACCACTACAAGCCACAGCCCCAGATCGCCGACACAGGCTTCGGCTACATGCAATCAGTCGAGATGGAGGAAACCGACCGAAGGTACCTTCCTCCCCCAACGCCAAAGACGCCCCTCAAGAGCGCCTTGAAGTCTCCTGGCGCTCCTCCACGGACACCAGCCGGCGCAATGTCCATCATGAGCCCTACTTTTAGGGAAGAGCAGCAGCTTGAGAAGCGCGAGGCCCTGACTGAAAAGGAGCAAGCAAAGGATCTAGTATGTTTCTGAAATCACCATCTATGCCACGTGCATTCACTAACACAAACTAGAAAATCAAAGTACGCGTGCGATTAGCAAAGATCTTCCTCCGAGGCGTCAACTTTGCCTGCTCTCTCATCGTTCTCTCCATGGTTGCAACCGCATTTGCCATTTTCAACGCCACCAAGACCCTGGCTCCACGCAACGGTCTGCCTCCATGGGCTAACAACACCAAAACCTGGCCTCAGATCCTCCTGTTAACCATTGCTTGCATTTCCCTGGTCATGTCCATCCTTGTCATCATCGCCTACTGGAGAGGAGGTCACCATCGGGCCGAAAAGGTAGCTGCTTACTACACTGTATTCGCCGTTGGATTCTTCATCTTCAGCATCGTCATGTGGGGTGTTGGTGCAGCCGTCTTCAATCAAAGTAAAGCGCAGAACAACAAGACATGTGGGGTTGGTCCTGCGTTGACAACAAGCGACGACATCTCTTTGAGGATGACATTGCCTATGCCCTTGTCTGCCGTCTCCAGGTATGCATTATTCCATTTCTTCATCCTGCAATTGACTAACAGTGCGTCAGAACTGGGCTCTTGTCTGCTGCATCATCGAAGTCGTCATCGAGGTCCTCGTCATTGCCATTTACGGAATTGTGTTCTACCGCTTCTGGTCCAAGCGCAAGCTCCGCAAGTCCATGGCCATGCGCGACCGCGCTCGTTCGGATCTTTACCTTGCTCAACTGCGCTCCCAGTCCGCTCCCAACACGCCTGGTTTCGGCCCAATGTCTCCTCGCTCTGGCGGCTGGCGCCCACCACCAGGCCACCCAATGTACGTGGACCCGCACTCTGCGGCCGAGAATGGCGAGAGCGACAAAGTGCAGTACGCATATGCACGTGAAATTGCTCAGCCCCAGCCCTTCACCCTCCAGGCGCCGCCTATCAAGGTCACCAGTGCGACTCCCAAGGTTGAGCAAGAAGGCTTCGAGGCGCCTGCTCGCACAAACACCGTTTCGCCACCGCTTCCATCCCCAGCATTCCAGGAAAGGAGAAACGACCACGTTGCTGCTGCGCCAGGCGAACAGCAGTACGCTGCTGTGCCCATCCCTGGTGCATACACACCGCTAGCATCACCCTCATACCCACCACCACAGCAACAGCAGCCTCAACCAGCTGCTGGCTTTGACTTTGGTCCAAACGTCACTGGCCAACGATAAGCAAGCTGTTTTTGGGTATTTTTGTGATTTAGCGCGCATCCTTGTCGTTTCTCCTTTCTCTTCTATCTCATCCGGAAAATTTCGTCAAAAATTGGCCATCATCGTACCCGCATGGCATGGTTTCTGCGATTCTACCCTGGAGTGTACATTTTTTTTCCCATGCGAAGCCGGCTTTGGCCATTTGCTTAGCTCTTTCCCTTTGTTCGTTGCCTGGTCCCTACTACTATCGCTAACAAATGTCGATATACTTGTATTTTTTTTCTCCCGATGGCAAATTGTTGGGACATGTTTTCTTTCATCATCGCTTGATACCTTTTTTTTTATAACTCGAGTAAGATTGGCGAACTCACCACAACACCGCTCTCTCGCTAAACGCACATGTATCGGTTGTATCGTTTTGTTTCTTGATGAGATGGACGATATATAAAGATGTGTAAAGGGGGGAAGAAACTCATGGATAGTTTTTTTCGGAATGCGAAGAATGAATAATGCAGACTGGAATTCTCCCTTAATTTTTTACGTGCCTTGTTCGTGCATGATGTGATGTTTGGTATTCCTAGTGCTATACGTACTACATGACCTTTCGACAGTTGGCGGGATAGTAGTACCAGTCATCCCCCCACCCCTTTTTTTCCGTCAAGAATCTACGAGAATATACATTACTTGCATCCACTATAGTACACATCCCTTCTTGCTCTCTTTCTCTTTCTCTCCTCTCGGATCTTTGCTCTTCACGTGATTTGCACATGTGCCGGCGTCTCGCCCGACCGGATACGTAACATGTCACATATGCCCTCCCGATTGAACAGGCCGTGTCTAACCCGCTTTGATGTCTCGTGTATGTGATGAGTTGCAGAAGCGGTCGGTTTTGCGTATATGGATTGTACGGTTTGATTAGAGAGTGGAAGAGGGGGGGGTGGAGGGGTGATGAGGTAGGCGCGCGGGATGGTGATGGTAAGGGCTTGGGATTTGGGCTACTATGGGTGTGGTTGGTGGATGGCCGCCCGTCTTGGAGAACTGAAATAACCGGATAAAAGGCACCTCTACCTCAACAGTGCGATTTACTTTCTCATGTTAATACTGTGTACTGGTTAAGTATAGGAATTGGGTAGAGGAATGATAGTATACAAAATAAGACTTTGGTACATTTATTAACGCTGCTTGTGGTGACCTTTGCAGTTATTTATCCAGCTGGTATTTCAGTTTCCTAGGAGATTGAATAGTTTGTAATACGCGGTCTTCCGTCGTCTGAAGATGCAATGCATTATCTCTCAGCCACAAATATGCAGTGGCTCAGATGATGATGATGATGACATCATCGGCATAGGCTTGCTAGGCAGCAACGATCTGATACCCCTCAATTTCTTACCTCATAATATCTCTTTGGATAGCTTGCGACTGACGACACTCAGAATGCGATCTGAATATGACAGAAACGAAGTTATGTGAGCCGTGCCGCAGGCTGATCGTAGGGGATCTCCCACTGTGCAGCAGCGGTAGGAGTTATGATGTTTTCTCTATTCAATTATATCACCACATTGGTCATGACTCCTACAAAGAGGCCATGCAGCTGCCATGCTCGCTCTGTAACCTAGCATGGCTGAATGCAAAGTTCCTCCCTTCCGAATCCAGCCGTTCAAAGTTTACAGTAAGATACAGCTATGACAATATCAAGAAGGAATTATCATTGTTTTTCGCTGTTTTTTCCGACAATCGATCGATTATGAGTGCCGTACTGTTTCTTGAGCATCTTTCAAGTTCGTCAACTTTAAAATAGTTGCACACAATGGCTGACTTTTCCATAGCCTCTACCGAGTTTTCGATTAGCTACGCTCGGTCCTTGAATACTCGCGAAGCCCTCCCCTTTCTTCTCAAGCAATACCATGAATGCCGTGCCCATCATGCACAATGTACTACCCCGGAGTTGACAGAACTGGATCAGTGCCCATCGAGGCTCCTCGACGTTGGTCACGAGGGTAGCCCGATCATACTTCGTAACACGAAACTATCCAATAACAAGGAATATGTTTGCCTCTCCCACTGCTGGGGCCATTCGAAGCCATACACACTGAACTCGACAACAAAACAAGACTTGGAAAAGGGAATTGATGCAGAAAAGCTGCCGAAGACGTTCCAGGACGCCATTCACGTGACTCGTTGTCTCTGTATCCGGTACTTATGGATTGACTCGCTGTAGGTGATCATATCCCTTTGGCATATATTATAGAAACTCACGTATGTAGTTGTATCATTCAAGACAGCCAGACGGATTGGGCAACTGAATCTGGTCGTATGGGCAATATTTATGCACGCGCATCATGCACCATTGCAGCAACCGCTTCGAGTGATAGTGATGGGGGACTCTTTTTTGATAGGCATCCGCAAAAGTCATCACCAATCCTTTTGAACATTAGTTTCGATCCCGATACGCCATGGCTCAGGTATGAACATGAAGTATTCCATCTGATGGGCACCTATCTTTGCGACTTAAAAAACATAACCGCAGACTGTATCGAACGGGCGCCGCTAAATTCAAGAGCCTGGGTCAGCCAAGAGAGGCAGCTTTCTTGCCGAACTATGCACTTTAGCAATAGGCAGCTTTTTTGGGAATGCCACGGAAACGAAACTTGTGAAACATATCCAAATGGTATTCCGGAAGGAGCACGACCAGGTGAGGGTGATCATGCCACCATGTTAAAAAGACGTCTTCATGAGTTCCAACAACAACAACGACAAAAGGGAGAAGCATATTCAAATAGTAGCGAATTGACACAGCGCCTGGGGTCAGGCTTGAATGATAGTCTTTACCGGGCTTGGTGTTCCTTCAGAATAAATTACTCCAGAAGCGCACTTACTCTGGACAGCGACAAGCTGGTAGCACTTCGCGGGATAGCGAAACAAATTGAAGATGCCACAGGAGACGAACTTCTCGCGGGGCTCTGGAGAAGTCGGATAATCGAAGAACTATGTTGGTTCAAAAACTTACATAGCAACGAAACTCCTTCCGTCGAGCCTACAGAATGGAGGGCTCCCACTTGGAGTTGGGCTGCTTCCAATTGTCAGATATGGGATAGCATTTTTCTCAGATCTCACTACGGTCACAAAAGTGGATACTTTGAGACAAAACTCGTGGATCTCGACATCAGGACAAAGCCATCCGGAGAGCTCACACACGCATCTATGAGGATCAACTGTAAACCAATACTTGTTACGCTCATTTCAGAATTTCCATTATTGCCTTCTAAATACCGTCATTGGGGCCACCTCGTACTGATGGAAGAGGATGTGCAACCATCGGACACAAAGTTTGGTGGCAAGAATGTGGAAGTTCAATCCGAGTTCTACATGGATGATCCAAACTTTCATGAGCAACAACAAGCTTACATTGTCGCGATTCAAAGATGTTTTCATGTACGCCATATCGAAGATGGTGCACCAAGTCAGAAATTACATGCAGGACAAATAAAAGATGTGGACATTCTGGGAGGTTTAATCTTGCAACCGCAAGACAAGGATTTGATGACTTTCTCAAGGATCGGAATATTCGATGTCCGTGGTACAGCCACTGTGTCGATTTTCAACGCTCACCTCAAGGCGCAAGAACGAGTTATAACGCTTGTATAGCTCTACTCTGAACTAATTCACTCCGCAGCGGACTGAAACTCATCCAGTTATGATGGATCCATTGATTATCCTCACACATCCATCATCGACAACTTCACATGTCAAACCAAACTATACACTTCAAATAGAAGCTGTACTTTGACGCAGCTGCATAACACCCTGAAAAACCCCCCGAGAAACGGATAGGATGAATAATCCAACATCACCGTTATCGAAAAGTTGTCCTCAAGATCAAATGTAGTCCTCCTTCCATCACTTCACTGTGAAACGTTGCCACTCAGCACAAGCACACAACCAATTCCTTAATACATAGCACCAACATCCGTGTTCAAATCGTTTTCTTAACGCGAGACTGACGCCTCATACATCCCTAGCTAATAGGAGAGTGAGACACATTTCACATGTGCAAATGCAACTCCGTTGAAATTTCGTGGCCATGATTTAGAGTGCATATCTACAAGACGTATGCAGCTAGCTGGAGTCATCAACGGGTAAATAAGATTTATGGATCCTGATTGCGACGAACCACAGAACTAGGGGAAACGCGATAAAGCTTTTCCCATGTTCGCGCTCTTATTGTCCGATATCTCAATCTAATTTAGCAGGGCTATACGATCATATTCTCAGCGCCTATTTCTTTCTTACATCCTGACATGCTGCAACCAACCCCCCCCCTCCTCCTCCTCCTCCTCCCCCGCCGCCGCGCCGCGCCGCGCCCATCACCCCCTCAAAACTGCTTCTCCAACTCGTCCTCAAGCGGCAGCGTCGTCTTCTGCAACTCCGCCGCAACCTTATCAACCTCCGCCCACACCCTCAACAAATTCCGTCCTACAATCTTTCCCGCATCCACATCGCTAACACCCTGCCTCAACAACTCCGCTACCAAATCCGGAAACTTGGACACATCCTCCAGTCCCTCAGGCGTCTCCTCGATACCATCGTAATCCGTACCCAGACCAACATGATCGTACCCAATTAACTCTCCAATATGCTTGATATGGCGTACAACATGCGCTAGGGTATTATTCTCGGGCACGAATTCCGGGAAGGAATCCGGGGTCTCAGAAGCCTTGCAGGATACGAAATCAGGGTTGAAATTCACCATAACGAGGGAATTGCGCTGTTTAACTAGCTGCAAGATATCATCTGGCACATTGCGTGGGTGCGGACAGATGGCGTATGCGGAGCTGTGACTGAAGATTGGAGGTGCAAGACTGCCGTTCCAACCAGCAGCGCCGTTGCCGACGAGGACGTCGCGCATGGTGTCTTGACTGACGTGGGCGAGATCGACGAGCATGCCTAGTCGATTCATTTCTTTGACGAGGTCGCGGCCGGCGGGGCTGAGGCCGTGCCAGTGGGGTTTGGCAATCGAGGCAGTCCAGTCGGAGGCTGTTTCAATGGCGGCGTCGGCGTACTTGTTGTGGCAGTTCCACGTGAGGGTTGCGTAGCGGACGCCTAGTTGGTGGTAGAGGCGAAGGGTGGAGATTGAGTTTCCGATTTGGTGGAGGCCTTCGATGATGACGGGGGCGATGAAAGTGCCGGTGTTGAAGGCGTGGAGGGCATCGGCGCTGGTGCGTGTTGGGGTGAAGTATTTGGGGTAGGAGGAGCCTAGGCGGTTGAAAAGGTCAAGTTGTTCGAGGGTGGATTTGACGACTGGGATTGCTTAGTATTGGGGCGATAAGGAAGGTTGGGGATTTTTAATTACTGTGGGAATATCTTGAGTCTGAGAAGTTTGTACCGTCGCCCAAGGGACAGGGCCAGAATGCACTCCAGAAGGCGCCGCCTTGCAGTCCCTTCTCTAGGCGGGGAATGTCAACGTGCTGTTCGAGCCCGCCATTTTCGAATTTCTTGGCGAAATCACTGTCAGAGTTGTTGTAAATGTGATTCTGATATTTGGAGCGGATGAAGATCAACAGGTCATTATGGCCGTCTTTATGAAGTCAGTCGATGATCAGATGATGATGGTTTATGGCGCTAACCGATGAGCGGGTTTTGCTTGAGGATTCTCACAGCTCTTTCTTCGACAGTCAGATTCCCCCCACACGAGTGCTTGTGAGGTGTCCAGATTTGAGCGGGTATCTGTGAGGACCACATGACAAATGCGATAAGCAGGAGTGCTGCGGATAAGATGACGCTATTTGAAGAGCGTGTACGCCGTTTTTGAGAGCTGTCATCTTGCACAGCTGCATGCTTCTCAAACGATTTGTCCATTATGAACAAGAGAAGTGTGTAATGGCGGTCAGGTCAAGTGTGAGACTCGGGGTGTGGTATATGTAGACATAAGTCTTGGCAGTAATACGGATGGGGACGGACTTTGGAAAGTTTAATCCGAAACAACACGCGACGCGAATGCTTGCATACGCATTGTAGCAACGCCGTCCCCCAACCCACATTCCACATCCCAGTCCGTCCCAATTACATCATCAGATTTTCCAAAATGCCGTTGATATCAGCAAACAACATGATACGCAGCATATCGCTGTTCCACCTCACCCTCGCAGTTACCCTGCTGAGGAATCCCGCCTTGATAGCGAAGCAGGGCATCGTTCTTGTTCTTGAGCAATCAATGCAACTCGTACGCGTCCCGATCATCACTTAATGCTGTACTCGAACAGTGAAACAAAGATGCTAATAGTTTCCAGCCCACACCGCGCGAATTCACCAAGCCCTCTGCATCGATCGCCTTTCTCGCCGTCCTCTTTGCCTTTATCGGCATCAGCGACCTGACGTCTCTCTCGCTTCACGAGCAAATTTCAGACGAATACTGGGGCCTTCAGGCACCCGTGCGCCTATTCTTCCTCTTCGCCATCACCGGCTACTCGTACGCGTTCAAGGAGGGCGGTCTGCTTGGGGCAAAGGGTGCGGACTATAGAGCAAGTGTGGGTGCGGGGTTGAATAACAGCATCCTCTTTACCTGGGGTTTCTTGGAGATTGGAATATGGTTTTGGGTGTACACTGCGCTGAGGGAGGAGAGGGTGGCCAAGGCAAAGATTGTTGCTGAGAAGCAGGCCAGGGAGAACAAGCAGCTCTAGGTGGCTGGCTGTGTTATGGAGTCGGAATAAGGCTCCGAAATTATTCGGGAGCAGACACCGTATTCCTTTACGTACACGGACTAGGGGAACTCGATTGTAGTGAGTGACAGGCTGGTGGAAGCACTTTGGTCATGCTTGTACCAAGCGTACGGCTTCCTCATAGATTATGAGACGACGAACACGGCCGATCTTTTTTTCGATATGATTGCAGCGCGTTCACTTACAAAAACTAGACTAGATAGACGGCGCATGGGGTTTGAATTGAGTAATTTGGGACAATGCTTGTTACTTGATGTGCCATGCACGAATACGATGGCGTATTCCGAGCGTTCGGGACCGGCCGTACTTATCTAGGCCCAGGTCACGACTCCACCGTTCGCCTTCGCGTCTCCCCCACTCTTGCAAGCACCACAGCCAGCTACGCTACATGTTAACAAATGGTTTCCTTTGCAAACCCTGCTTTTTCTTCTTCTCCTTCGAGTGACTACGGGTGAACGAGGCTTTTTGCAGGATACTGCCAAATACAACAAAACATCATGGACGAGGCGGGGTGCATCAGTTACAATAATGCGATCGAGGAGCTTCGCGCCGAAGAGTATCCCATGTTGCAGGGTGGGTGCAGCAAAATGTATTCTGGGATATACGCTCACACCAGACAGACACAACCTACCTTGACCATGCAGGGACTACACTCTACTCCAAGTCTCTGATCGAGCGCTTCTCCGCCGACATGATGACAAACCTCTATGGTAACCCGCACTCGGCCTCCAACGCCTCACAACTGACCACACGCCGAATCGAAGATGTGCGACTACGCCTCTTACAGTTGTTCAACGCCGATCCGCAAGAGTTTGACGTGATCTTTGTTGCAAACGCCACTGCTGGAATAAAGTTGGTCATGGAGGCGTTTCGTGATCAAGACGGTGGATTCTGGTATGGCTATCATCGAGATGCGCATACTAGCTTGATAGGCGTACGCGAGGGTGCGACCAAGCACAGGTGCTTCGCTTCGGACGCGGAAGTCAATGCGTGGATCGAGGGTGATGAGAATGAGTCTGGTTCTACACAATTATTCGCATACCCAGCGCAGTCCAACATGAACGGGCGTCGTCTACCGTTGGATTGGTCGCGCCGCATCCGCACCAACAAGCGCGACTCAGTGTATACCCTGCTAGATGCTGCAGCCTTAGTCTCGACATCGCCCCTTGACCTTGGGAACCCTAACGAGGCCCCCGACTTTACGGTGCTGAGCTTGTACAAGATGTTTGGCTTTCCCGATCTTGGCGCACTCATCGTCAGGCAAGCATCAGCATCGGTATTCGACAAACGACGCTATTTTGGCGGTGGCACCGTCGACATGGTCGTGTGCCTCAAGGAACAATGGCATGCAAAGAAGGCAGAATCACTCCATGAGAGGCTAGAAGACGGCACACTACCTATACATAGTATCATGGCGCTTGACAGCGCAATGACTATCCACCAGGAACTGTATACCTCATTGGAAAGGATCTCAAGGCATACTGCCTTTCTTGCCCAAAGGCTACACCAAGAGCTCTTGTCGTTGCGCCACGGGAATGGCCAACAGGTCTGCCACATCTACAAGGACTCGGCGTCGACATATGGAGATTGTCTTACTCAAGGTCCAATTGTTGCCTTCAATCTCCAGAATCAATATGGTGGCTGGGTTAGCAATGCAGAAGTGGAGAAACTGGCTGCAATCAAGAACATACAGCTCCGAACTGGCGGGCTCTGCAATCCTGGCGGTGTTGCATCATCTTTGGGATTGGCACCGTGGGAAATGCGCGAGAACTTCTCGGCTGGGCAGCGGTGCGGAAACGACAACGACATCATCCGCGCGAAGCCCACGGGCATCATACGTGTTAGTTTTGGAGCCATGAGTGCCCTATCAGATGTAGAGTGCTTGGTTTCCTTCTTGGGCGAGTTTTTCGTTGAGAAACGCCCTGAGTT